CCTCCTTTTTGGTTTCTTGTCATTTATTTGTATATATTAAACAAAAATTAAAAATTGAGTTTGTGGGTTAAATGTAGAGGTGACACAATGCCATGGTGATGCCATCTTTTAATTTTTTCATACTTAATTTGGACAAACTAAGAAAACTGTATTTTATATTCAGCAATAATAGCATCCTTGTTCTAATGAGGCAATATCTCATGTTTCCTGGGACAAAGTTGCATAGCTAGAGGCAGAATCTTTAATCCTTGAGGGAACGAATTATTGCCAAAAAACAATGAAGCAAAGCTGCTATTGTCCTTAGAGTTTTAAAAGTGTTCCAGTGTTTAGATCTTTTGGTTGAAGTAGTTATACAAAAGTATACCAGCTCTGTTTGGGAGAGAACTTGAGGATATGAAATAGGAGTGTGGCTTTCTTGAAGTTTGAAATAACCTTGTGGTGAATAGCATGAGAGTAGGTCCTGAATATTTGTGCCAGGAATTCTGTTCTAGACTCCAAAGACCTGAAATTATATCCTACCCTCAGTGTTACGTCATGCTTGTGTCACTGTTAGCCTTTTATATTGTATTTTGCTATTTCAGATTTTATTTTTCATCTTTAAAGATGATGTGGTTTTGCAGGTTTATTTTTGTTTTGTTTTTTTTTTATTTAAGTAATCTCTACACCCAGCGTGGGGCCTGAACTCATGACCCCGAGATCCAGAGTTTCACACTCTTCCTACTGAGCCAGCCAGGTGCCCGGAGTTTTGTGTTTTAAATGTGGCTTTCCAATATGTTGGAAAAGGAGGGCAGTTTTTATGTCAGTATAGCTTCAAAATCGTGGTGGTGTGATTGTTCACTAGCCCCGTGGAAAGCACTCTGGGAAGTAATTTTTCCTGTTCCTTTTGGTGTCTAATACAATCTTGGATCAAACTTAGATCCTCACCCTTCCTGATAGGGGAATAGGCTTCTTAGACCCTGTTCTGTTAATTTCCGCCATTTCCCTCTGCAGGCCATAACTTCTATCCCCTGGTCCGTGTCACTTTGAATGCACGTTGTTACTGTAGTTTTGAATTCCTCCATACATGCCGGGTGGGTCGGTAATGACAGCATTGCCGTCACTGCTCCTTAGGAGGAAATGAACTGAGCAGCCTAGCAGCTGCAGCCCAAGGCCCAGGCGTTGCTGCGGGGATCCTGGCAGTGCCCAGAGAATGTGTGCTGCTTACATGAGCCAGCATCAAAGGGCACTGGGGGCCAAGTGAAGACAGTTGGGATTGGCCCAGAAACTGGATTTTCGTGTGGCCTGCATGCAGACTATCCCTTTTGGAGCTATACGAGTCGGCTAACTCAGGAGCCAGCTGTGTTTGAGTGGCTTAGCCCAGTGCCATCCTACAGGACTTACTTAGATGGGTTGTTGCATCAGGGATGGTGCCGTCATTTGACTGGACACAGCTCTCTTTGATCATCTGTTCCTGCCAGACATAGCCTCCGCTAATAGGCTGTGACCTTCTGATTCAGGCTGGGTTCAAGCTGAATTAAGAGTTTGCTTATTTCCTGACCCAGAGAAGATCGCTTTTACCTTAAGAATTAGGACACCTGCCAATTGTTGAGTTTGGTTGGGGTTAGTTACTGTGTTCTCCCATCAAGGGGCTTCCTTAGGTTTTCTAGGATTCTGATTTTACCAACCTACTTGCACCTGCCCCCCAGTTATTGTTTTCCTGAATTTCCTATGAAGTGTGGTCCCAGGGAGCCAGGTGCAGGCAGAGCAGGGGCGGCCCTGGGTGACAGCTGTCTCTCCTTCCTCTGGCTGGCTGGGGCCTGAGGCCAGGGACCAGAGGGGGTCTGCCCAGGGCCACAGAGCACCCTAGCCTCCCTCTATCCGAGGTAGGACAGATTCTGGAGTGGGCTCACTGTGCCAACCGTCCAGGGCCCTGGGAGGAAGGAGTGTGCTGGAAACGCGTGCAGGCAGAGTCCCCCCCACGCCCCCGGGAGGCAGTGTGACTATTAATGTTATTCTCCAGAGGCACATTTCACTTATGCGCTGAGTTCTCTTTTCTTCTGTGTTTCCTGCCCCTCCCCACCCGCTCAAACCTTGCTGTTTCCATTCTTCTGTATGGTTGGCTTTCATCTGCAGTAGCTGCCGTGAGTAAAATGTGTGGGCTCCTATAAGAGCGTGGCATTTTTATTCTAAATAGCACCATAATAAATTTTGTTAGACATTAAAAAAAAAAAAGAGCTTGGAATTTTTAGCACATGTGAAATTGTGCTGCCACAGCCTCTATAACCAGCTGGCAAACGAGTGAAATGCCTCCTCCTCCTCCTCGCTCGCCTGCTAAAGGCTTGCCTTCGCCACTGGGGGTAAGGAGAACTAGCAGAGGGCGGAGGTGCCAAGGAGGGAGAAATGCTACCACGCGGCCGGGGGAAGCGGCGGGCTTGCTCTGAAGGCCCGGCTGTCCACGTGAATAGAACAATCTCCGCAGCTTTTGAAACAACAGGAAATCGTCAGCGCCCATCCTCTGCGGGGCACAGCAGTCCACCGCAGCCCGGGGCTCCCAGGAGCTCCGGGGGAGGGGGGAGGCGGCTCTGCGGGTGCGCGCCCCTGGCCCTTTACCCCGGAACCCCGGGCTCCACAGACCAGGCTGGCTCACCCCCAGGCGCGTCTTGTGGCGTCACCGATTCCCACCCCTCCGTGTCGTCTGGCTCTTCCCCTGTCAGCCTCTGCACAACCGCGCGCCCCTCACTTGCCGCCTCAGCGACCCCCTTCCTGGCAGCCAGGCTTTGGCGCCCTCCTCTGGAGCGCGCTCAGGATTCCGGGGGCGGGGGGCTCCCGCCGCCTCTGTCGCTCTCTGGTCTCAGACCCGCTTCCCGGTCTGGCTCCCTCGGGGCCAGAGTTCGGCGGGGAGCCGGGCAACCCTTACTCATTCTAGAAGGCTCTTGAAGGTTCGTGGAATGAATAAGTGAGCGAGTGAGTACAGTGAACAGGAAAGACTCGGTAGTAACCTTGAACTCCCGGGCTGCTCTTTATAGCCTTCCCGTTGGAGCTGGTTACCCTTCCAGATAACGTCTTCCCAGTCTTCACCCCGCCTGATTCCAGGAACGCTTTCACTCTGCCTGCCCACAACCTTTCCATATTTTGCTTACAAATCTGTCAGTAAACAGAGCAGTTCTTGTTTCTGTGTTTCATTGTGTGGGTTTTGCCCTTTCAGCTAGGTTATAAATGCCTTAAAATCCAGGGTTTTATATCCTAGGAAGCATTTGAAAGGAATGGGAAAAATGGAGCTCCAAAGTAATTTTTTGTCCCTACACATATTTATGTATGTGTATACATGTATATAGAGCTGTGAGATCTTAGGGGCAGAGTGATTACCCTCCTTGCAAAGGCCTCTGTTTTCTTATCTGTAAAGTTAGAGGGCTAGATGCTCTCTGCTGTTTCCCATGCTCACATCCTGCGATTCAGGGCTGTTGAGCCCAGCACTTGGCTAATCCCGCCCAGGCCCTGGGTCAGAGTCCCCTCTCCAGATCAGCCAGGTAGTTGAGCTTGTTAACTTACGGTCGAGACCAGTTCACCTCTCAGCCGTTTGTCGGGGCTCCTGGGATCTGGGACAATACTGGTGGAATGTGTGTGTGGTGGTCCTGTGGGGACCCCTGTGGCCCTTGGCCTAGCCTCTACCCTCTGCCAAGAACTTCCAGGCCCCAAGGACCCTTATTTTCTGTTTGGGGAGTTGTTTGTTCACATTTGTGTGTCCAGCTCTTTCTCTCAGCTCCAGCTTCGTTTCTCTCTGTCCAGTCAGGTGTGTTCCTTCTCTTTGTTTCTGTTCCTAGCTGTTCCTGAGTCAGCCAGACCCAGAGATGGTGAGTAAAGAGCATTATCAAAAGGAACCCTGCAGAAAGACAGCATGTCTCTGAAGATCCCTCCTGGCTGTGAAACTGAGATTTTAAGGCTTTTGGTTTGGGGTTAGGGCCCCCTCTTACCGGAGTTAGCAACACTGGGGCAGGAGGGGAGAAGGCATGGTATGACACCTAGTACATAGGTGGCGCCGCCCAGACCCTCTGTGCAGCGTCTGCACCAGACTGATGGAGGATGATGGTGGACGAGCCTGTCCGAGGCAAGAGTGCCCAAAGTAAGAGAGAGAAAGCACGCGAGCGGGCTGGAGGGAAAGAGATTCAGGCCAGTCATATCTTGGGCAAGGTTAGGTTCTAAATCAGTATTATTAAAAGATAAACTAACTGAGGCATATTAAAAAAAACTTTACGAGTTGGAGCAAAAATCGATTGGAATCTGGCAGCGGCAAATTGGAAGTGGTTAGGAGTGCTCTGCCAACCGGAACCAGGGGAAAAACTCCTACAGAGAAAATAAAAAAGCAAAGAAAAATTATTTAATCAGCTGTAGCTTAAAGCCTGGTTGGCTGCTTGTGATTGGTTGTCCCTCAGGTTTGATTTTATAACCTTGAGGCCTTTACAGGCTTAGATATTTTTGCTTACATCACTGCCACGTCATTAGAGCCACATGGGCCTAACAGCCGCCTTGTTTAATTAATGAAACAGTATGTGAACTGAAGATTCAGGGTATAGTCAAAATTACCTTTGAAAAATACCTCAGGAAGGCACAGTGTTAGAAGATGACATATCATCGCTTGTTAAATTTAATGGGGCCATTTCCCCCCTCCAGTGTTTGTTGAGTTCCGTATGTTCTTGGCTTAGGTTTAGGGGTCATGTTCTATAAAGTGTGTCTTTTAAAACACCAGAATCCTACTCAGAGAGGTGCTGATACTATGAGAGATGGCATACTTTTCACGTTGTTTCAACAACCCCTTTTCGGGCTTGACTTGCCTAGCTGTGCGTGTGTGCGTGTGTTGCACGGGCCAGCCGCAGGACTCCACCTTTACTGTCCCCAGTGCCTAAGCCAGCGGGGCATCTGGGAACTCTTGACCACCAATAATCCTGACATCTGAACATCATGGTTCTAATTGAAACGTTGTGTTTGTTAAATTCAACTCTCCAAATTTTCTGTTTTGTCAACAGGTTGCTCGTGGGGGCCCCTCGGGCGGTGGCCCTTCCCCTGCAGAGGGCCAACAGAACAGGCGGCTTGTACAGCTGTGACATCACCTCCCCGGGGCCTTGCACACGGATTGAATTTGATAACAACGGTGTGTTCTTCTGTCCTTGCTGTGTGTCCACTTGTCCAGCTCGCCTGTACCCCACTTGCCTTTTCCATGAGGAGGGAAAGGGGGTCCAAGCCTTTTTTCTTGGAGAGAGGGCCCTTTTTAATTACATGTCTTGACTGTTTCTTGTTTGCCCTGAAAACATCTACTTTTTAAATGATGCTGGGATGCACACCGAATTGCAGCCCTTCCTAATCTTGCTTTCTAAAAGGATATGGTGTATTGATGTCGCCACCTAGTGATGCGCTGAGGTTCTACAGGAGGCTATTGAAAAACTGAATTCAGAGCAGCAAAGAAAATTGTGCATAGCTTGTAGTTGGCTGCCAAAAGTTCTCGCTTGCTGTTAAAATATTTGGGAGAAAGACTGTTTTAAATATCAGATCTCTCTGAAGTGAGAGCTGACCATAATGGCTAATTTTGCCCTTCTGGCTCAGGTAGAGGCTTGTTTCGTGAGGGATCTATGCTGAGCCGAGCAGTTAGTGTTTTGAGAAGCTCTAAGGGAGCAGATTTGACATCCTTGGTCTAAGTAGATTGCAAATTCATGTTGATGTTCTTCTCTTTTTCATCTTTTAGAAATAACTTTTTTTTTCTTTACTGATTAGAAAATGATATATGTTAATTGTGGGAAAGTTACAAAAGACACTGACCTATATAAAGAAAAACCCAAAAACCCATGGGTAATCTAGACATAATCACTCTTTAACATTTTGGCTTCTCTCTACTTAAACTTGTTTAGTTTTCACATTTTTGCAATGATTCAAGATTTAAAAAATCACGCCTGCCTTCTAATTGAGGAAGGCAAAAATTTGGATATAGGGTCATACAAGTAGGTTCAGATTGATACTGAAATGAACACATACATGATGGTGTTTGTGGTTTCTCTTTTTTCGGACGGGGGGGTAAAAACTATATTGCTTTCCTTCTTGGCACTGATAGAAAGATATAAAGTGAATCTGAGGCCTTGTCTTGTCTTCTCCAAGAAAGAAAAGAATAGTTCATGTTGTTATATAACAAATTTAGGAGTATGTAAAGAAGTGCCAACTTCTTGTTAGTTTGAATGGTAGCTGGGATTTGGAGACTGGATGTTCACATCACTGCTTTAAGATGCAGATGTTGGAGGGCTACCCCTGAGTCTTATAATTTTCAAATAGCTTTTTGTACTCAGGATCCTGGTTGTCAGAGTGTAGGGCCACCAGGTAAAGCTATATATTTTATGTAAAGAATTTTAAGAAGGTTCTTACCAATAACCACTTACCTGTTTTCTTAAAAGGAGAAATAATTTTTCTCGACTGAGTAACTTGGAATCTAGGCAGTTTAGAAACCAGCTTGTATTTGTATTGATCTCTTGCTTCATTGCCTGCTTCAGTCACTTTGAAGTCCTAACTGTGTGTACGTATCCTGCACTGCTTTCCACAGCTGACCCTTCATCAGAAAGCAAGGAAGATCAGTGGATGGGGGTCACCGTGCAGAGTCAAGGTCCAGGGGGCAAAGTTGTGGTAAGTGTGGAGAAGTGTACCCATTCCACAATGTCTGAGTGCCTGTCATGTGTTGGCGCCAGGCTGACAGCAGCAAACAAGACAGGCAGAGCGCCTGCCCACACAGGGGACATTCCAGAAGACTCACTGCTTTACAGCAGGAATTGATGTCAAGAAGAAATCAAGGCATTATTTTTTCTGTGATTTCTAAAGATTTATTTATTTATTTGAGCAAGGGAGAGCAAGGCAGAGGCAGAAGGAGAGAGAATCTCAAGCAGATTCCACGCTGAGCATGGAGCCTGATGCAGGGCTCCATCCTGTGATCCTGAGATCATGACCTGAGCTGAAACCAAGAGTCAGAGGAGTAACTGACTGAGCCACCCAGGCACCCCTCTGTGATTTCTGATACACTTTGAAATAGTCATAAAACCTGCTTTTCTTTAGAACTTTCAGACTCAAGGAACTTATTAATAAACCTGAATATCCCTAAAACGCCAGATGGTCTTTAGAATGCAGAACAAAACTAGACGTGGTTTATGGCCCAGGAACTATATATCTAAAAAATATGGGAATAGCCATGGAAGGTAAAAGCAGGTAATTTAAAACTCTGGTTGTTTGTTCTGAAAGTCTTCAAATACAAGTAGCAGTGAAGGAAAGGGGTTTGTTAGGTGGACTGTGGGAGGTGGCCTCAGAAATGCCTTCCAGGCTGGATTACGATGCTCTCCCTCTGTGTCTCTTTCAGAATCTAGTTGCTCTAACAAATTGATACAGGATTTTGAAAAAAATGAGAATTTTACTGAACCCTGAATTTTGATAATTAAGGGATCATCATTATAGGAAATCAACTTGGATATCATAAAGTCTATTCAGCCTGTGTTACATGGAGGGTAACCATGAATACCTTGTAAAATTATAGAGATTATTTCATCTTTTCTGGCAGTGTAATTCTCTCTGCCTTTTAAAATAGCTAAGAGTACAAGTTAGGGCTGATTATAAGGAAACTGTGGGTAAAAGGGAAATGTTTTTGTTTTAGCTGTGTTTGCCTGATCCTATGAAAATATGTCCATGATTTCTCTCCCCTGGAACATAATTACAAATTTTCACAAACATACTGATGTGAAAGTTTATACGGCCAATAAAAGCCACTTAAATTAAGAAAATGAGGGAAGGTATTTCCCACTGCTTATGTGACAGGTAAATTTATAAATAAATTGCCTGTGGATTACAGATTGGCATTCAGTATTTGGACTGGAGCATTATCCTCCAGGCGAGAATAAGACAAGTCCTAGTTCCTTTATGCTAGATGATGCTCTCCTTAGTGCCACTTTGGGGAACAATTGCTGGTTTTGGATCCGGTCCCAGGATGAGGACATGTTTAACATCCCATTTAGAATTAATCTCTCTTTATTACAAATTGATTAAATGGTCAACAATGCACATAAGGTTTGTAGAAATGAATGGGCTACTCTATTCCATCTGTTTGCAGACATGTGCTCACCGATATGAAAAAAGGCAACATGTCAATACAAAGCAGGAATCCCGAGATATCTTTGGAAGGTGCTACGTCCTGAGTCAGAATCTGAGGATTGAGGATGACATGGATGGAGGAGACTGGAGTTTTTGCGATGGCCGATTGAGAGGCCATGAAAAATTTGGTTCTTGCCAGCAAGGAGTAGCAGCTACTTTTACTAAAGACTTTCATTACATTGTATTTGGAGCCCCGGGCACTTATAACTGGAAAGGTAGGACATGTATTTATAGCAATAGAGTTCAGAATGACTACATAATTTCTCTTACACGCACCATGATTGTTTTAAGTTAAAACAAAATGTGTTATAAGGCACTTGTATGTTATAGAAGTAAGGTAGGATATTACAATCTCTCAATTATATGATTTCAAAAACAGTGGTGGAAATGTATATTTGAAGATGTTTTTTTCTTCTTCTACCAGCAATTTACATTAATACAAGTAGTTAACATTTTTTGCTAAGAATATAATAATTAACATCTGTAGTTTTTTCTGTTTTGTATTTTCCTGTTTCTTGAGACTGAAGGTGTTTTAAGTTTTAATGTTGGCAAACATTTAAGGTAGTAATCTTAAAACAAAATAATTGAGTGGTGTCATGTACAAGTAACAGTGTATTAATACATTTTTCCCATTATATATTATCTTAAGAGGCTGTGTTTTGCTAATAAAGCAGAAAAGTTAGAAGGGTAGATGACAGATTAGGGAATTTTGAGATGATAATTGTAGACAATTTATGGGGAAGTTGTTTAGTGGTATCGTTTAATTATGATTGTAGGTAAAAGGCACTGGGAGGGAGGGGGGAGAAGGGCCCTCAGTTTGACTGGGCGAACCTGGTCAGCTCCTGTAATCAAGTTTAACTTCTCTGAAGAAATTAGGCAGGCATAGAAAACCGCTATATTATAAAGGACAATTAGCTTAACTCTAAAGCATAACGAAGAGAAATGCATAGGATTTAGACATCAGACATTTTTTGAGAAATCTATTAAAATAAATGCTATGTTATAACATTTTCTCTAGTTAAGAAAAACTAGGAAAATTTTCCCTTTTGCATTCAAAAAATCTCCCAAGTTTGAATACCTATTAGTAGAAATAATCCTTGAGGAACACCTTCCTCTTTACGTCATCCATACTCATCTTTGGGAGGAATTTCCTTTGGCCTCCCCACCCCCAACATAACAGTATTTGTCAGGTTATATTGACCTAATCCAAATAACACACTGAATTTAGAAATAGTTTTATTATAGCGAGACTAGATGCCATATATAGTAAAACAACAAAAACACCCACCAGTTATGTATGTATGTATTTACAGGAAATATCTCTTATCTGCTTTATAAACCCTGATTCAAAATGTTAACCATTTTTAAAAAGTCACATAGTGGGCTTACTATATGAAATCTTCTCTTTTTAATTGTTAATTGTGGAAGTTTTAGAAAGATGAAATCTTGGTTCAAGTGATTTGAAGAAAGGATCAAAACATTTCACTTTTATTCTCTAGCGAAGTAGGTAAATTGATCTAGGATGACAGACTGTAAAATATGTCAGGCTCATATAATGTCTAAAGAGTTACTTTCTGTAGATTTAGTTAATGAAGTAAACATTTCGTTTTCCATCTGGTTTTGTGGCATTATAGAGAGAATTCCTAAAAATGCACAGGCCATCTTTTTTTATTACTGGAACAAATTTCTTTAAGAAAATTCACATAACATGATTTTTTAACTGTAATAACCTCAAAAGCCCTCTCTTTCCTTTGCCCTTCTTCCTCCAGACTCTTCTTCCTGTCCTTATGGTGCTAACACGAGGCATGTTTATTAGGAACCATCTCTTTTATTTTGTTCCATCTTCATGTTTTTTTGTTGTTTTTTTGCCATTTCATTTCTTTAGGCATCGTTCGCGTAGAGCAAAAGAATAACACTTTTTTTGACATGAACATCTTTGAAGATGGGCCTTATGAAGTTGGTGGAGAGACTGACCATGACGAAAGTCTGGTTCCTGTTCCCGCTAACAGTTACTTAGGTAGGAAAGAGCGCAGCAGGCATGCCTGCCTTTCCGGATGCCTCAGTGCGACCCTGTCCTCCCAGGACCCACCCTGGACCTCGAGGATGAGAATAGGCCAGGTGGAGCCAGGGGCCTGTGGCTGCATTGATGGGAATTGGATTTAAGCTTTGGTGATCCTGAGGTAACCTGGCTGATGCTTGGCACCCTTCCCTTCTGACCTGGGCTCCATCAGGGCGGGAGGAAACTTACTGTCTCCTAAAATTGTCCCGAGTGGAAGTCTGTGTCTTGAGCTAGCGTCGGCCTCTGTAACCCAAAACGGGCGTTGGTGCAGCTGGGGGAGGGGAAATGCATGGATGTCAGCAATAAGCTGAGCTGCCTCCTCTCTCCCTCCAGTGCCTCTTTCTAGAGATACTCTTAAGAGCTACATTCATGAAGTTACTCTGAAGTGGCAGGTCAAGACCTCCAGGTCCTTCCTTCGTGACTGCTCTTCTGTAAGGGTCGGCTCTGCTTCTGGTCTGGGGCCCCCCTGTCACAGGGCCCCTGGCCGGTGGCGTGGTGGCTTTCCAGCAGAAGCTGAGCAGGACTGCTAGAGCAGCTTGGAGGACCCCCAGATTGTGTCTAAGTGCCAATTCCCTAACTCCTAAGGCTCGTTTGCATTACTAATGGGTGTCCTAAATGATTCATGTGCATTATGGTAATTACACAAAGGCTTTTAAAAGCTTTAATTCTTGGTATGAGTTGACATAAAGAATAATTACTGTGCATTTCTTGGAAAAAAATGTAAAAAATCTCCTAAACCTAAATAGTAACCTATTTTTTTTTAAAGTACCCCTGTGCTAGAGATGTTACTGGAACAATGGAAGGTAAAAGTAAAAACTTAAGAATAATTCTAAACGACGTGTTAGTAAGCATATTCTTAAAATGTTCTAATTATATAGATATGCATGAATGGTACTGTTAGTTAAAAAAAGAAAAAAAGACACAACTTTTCAGACACTCCCTCCTCCCTCCAAATTAAAAATCTGGTGTGAAGGCTTGGAAGAGGGCAGGGAAAAGTTAAACTTGTTAAGTGCCAACCATGTGCTGTATTTACTGCTATTCATGTCTTACCTGACCTTCCCAACAATGTTATAAAATCAGTATGATTATCCCTCTTTTGCTAATGAAAAAAAATATGACCTGGGGAGATTAATTTCTTAGGCCAAGGTCACACAATTGCTCATCCCCCAGCCAGGGAAAGAAAGGCTTGTGAAAATGAGGCAGGGTGGGAAGCGGCTGGGTGTGTGAGTGCTGGGCCAGTGGCTTTGCAGGCCAGGGATGGGACGCAGACGCCAGCCGTTCGCAGTCTCAGTATGGCTTTTCCCCACACCAGCATTTTATTTGAACATATTTTAACAGGCAGCCTCTCATCAAATATGTTATTTAGGGATTATTTATGATAAGTAATTGTAAATTGAAATTTCATATTAATGGTCAAGAACCCCAACACTTTGGTCTCTAAGATAGATGCCTGTGGATTTTAGAAACATAGCTGCTCTTGGAGCATTTGAAAAGATTCAGCATTTTTTATTAAACACATTTGCTCCTTTTAAGAATGGATTGCCTCAGAAGCAGACCTTGTATTGTTACGTTTTTGTTGTCCATGCTGTCTGTGGATCTGTCGTTTCAAAACATCAGTGGGCTTGAGGAAGAAAATGATCTGCTTGAGGTTTCGGAAGCTGGCAAGGAGGCTGGCTTGCCGGATGCGGTGGTGGCCTCCTGGTGCCTCTTACGAAGCATAATTGCCTTCTCTTCGATCTCTTCTGTTCCACGCATGTGTCCAGGCCTGCTGTTTTTGACCAGCGTTTCCTACACAGATCCTGATCAGTTTGTTTATAAAACACAGCCTCCCAGGGAGCAGCCCGGCACATCCCCTGATGTGATGATGAATAGCTACCTAGGTTTGTGACCTCTGAGATGACAAATCAATTGTCTTGGTCATGGTCATTAAAAAAAAAATTTTTTTTGGATCCATACAGAGCATAAATCTTTTTTCTTTTCTATTTCATTTCAAGTGAAGCACACATGAAAAGCATGCCATGGTTAAGGCTCTGCTGCCAGAAGGTTTTCAGAGCTGGATTTAGTTACATCACCTGTTCTAAACTTGGAGCTCATCATATTTTGCAACTCACTTTCACAGTTTGAGAACTGCAACAGTAGTGGTGAAGCTTTTTATAACTCAGAATAAAAAGGGTGAGCTTACCCTATTCTGCATCTGCCTCACCTTTCTAGAGCAAGATGTGCTTAATTTGAGTGGTTTTGACGTAGGCGTTTATGTTCACTTGCTGCCAGATCTCAGTTTGTTATCTGATACCCCACCTGATGCTTTATAATTAGATGTCTAACATTTTCTGCCCTCTGAATGAGTATGTAATTGTCATCAGTGACAACTTGCTCACCTCTATTGTTTATACTAGGTTCTCAAATACTCTGTCTCACCAGTCATGGTCTTGTTTGCATGTTTGTGTCTGAGAATTAAGTTCGTCCCCAATACTGATGTTGTCTGTGATATAGGAATGATGTTAGCGTTTGTATTACCAAGGAGACTGATGAATGTGGAAGTTACTAATCATTACGTTATAGCAGAACTCTATAACATGCACTCAGGTATGTCGTGTCTGGTTGTATCTCTGTGTGTAGTTTCCCGTGATAACTTAGGATCTAGCTCGAACTCCTTTTCCCCACAGTTCCTGTATTAAAATGGAGTACGAACAGCTTCTTAAGATGCATGATTCAGGTTAGACATATGCTAAGTAGCATAGGTGCTTTCCTTCAAAAGTCTTCATATATTTCCATAGAAAGCCATGACCTAGCCTACTGCCTTGTACTTGGGTCAAACTCTTTCATGTTGTAAATACGATAGCTGCTAGAGAGGCCCCGAAGGAGAGGGGTGGGAAGCCAGAGGCGCAAAGGTAGTGATGGAGTTACCATGTTAGATACTCCTGAAATACAAGGTGACGTGAACTGTTATTTTGTTTTTCTAGGCTTTTCTTTGGACTCAGGAAAAGGTATTGTTTCTAAAGATGAGATCACTTTCGTGTCTGGTGCTCCAAGAGCCAATCACAGTGGAGCTGTGGTTTTGCTAAAAAGGGACACGAAGTCTGCACATCTTCTCCCTGAGTACATCTTTGATGGGGAAGGTCTGGCTTCTTCATTCGGTTATGACGTGGCAGTGGCGGACCTTAACAATGATGGGTAAGAGCATCTTCGGTTACTTTATATCTGCCAAGAAATCGTTGGTTCTTGGGGCATTTTTCAGTCTTGAGAAGAGCCATCCTTTCAGGTTAGTTGACTCAAAGAATATTTTTGCTGCCAGATTTTTACCGTCCTGACACATCTTTATCCCTTGTATTTTGGCAGCAGACATTCATAACCCTCCCCAGGTAATTTACATTTTCAATTTTTACTCATGGTTTGGGATCGTGGGTCTGTGAGAATTAACATATGGAAAAACATTAACTTGAAAAATGACACCTATGTGGTTCTTCTTTGGCTTCTTAAGGGGCTGTTGGAGCATCCAGAATGTCCTTTTAAAAATAAGGATCGGTGACAAAGTAATCGTTATGTCTGGTGGTGCCAGTTTGGGTGGTGGGTGGCGGGGAGCAGAGTCTGTGCACTCTCGCTCTAACTTGGGAACTGTCTTCAGGTTCCTACTGTTGGTATCTTCCTCTGGGCATTTATCGTAGGCTACTGTGTAAAATGTTTTACCTAAACATAGCATAAACACTTACGTGCCTAAACATTACATTATCTGAACATCACATAAACACACCTACGAAAATGTTCTAATGGATGAGAAATCAATTCCAGATTTGAGTTCCTTTCTGCATCCTGTTTCTGTGTCCTTAGTACCTGGGCTGATGGCATTCTCTGTGAGCTTGCTGTTATTTTAGCTGATGGCTCAGTTTTATCCCTCATTGTGTTTTTAGGTGGCAAGATATAATTATTGGAGCGCCACAGTATTTTGATAGAGATGGAGAAGTTGGAGGTGCCGTGTATGTTTACATTAACCAGCAAGGCAGGTGGAATAAAGTCAAGCCAATTCGTCTTAATGGAACCAAAGATTCTATGTTTGGCATTGCAGTAAAAAATATTGGCGATATTAATCAAGATGGCTACCCAGGTAGGTAATAGATTGTGAAGTAGTTATGATGCTCATTGGCAGATTATTTGATTGTCTAAAATAATGAATGCTTATGGCATCTTATTGTGAAACGTAGTATTGGAACATTTTAAAAATGTAGTGTTTGTTGAAATGTGATATTGTCAACAGATATTGCAGTTGGAGCTCCCTATGATGATATGGGAAAGGTTTTTATCTATCATGGATCCCCGAGTGGAATAAATACCAAGCCAACACAGGTAACCAAACAGCCTGGGTTTCTACAATAAGGGTCTCAGCTTTTTGCCTTGTAATAGAATATTTGGGTTTATGTGCATTTTCACGCTACTCATGCTTTATTTACAAATCTATAATAGATTTGTGGGTTTTTTTTAAATGTACTATTAGAAGATAGCTTGAAAATAGATTTAAAATAAGCACATCATTGCGTTTATTTGTTAAATTTCTTAGATAAATTAGGAATCAAAGTAATCCAAAGGAAAAGACAATTTTACCCAGACGGCAAAAATAGATGGAAATGTGAGATCTTTCCTTTAGTAGCATAATAACTGGAGGCAAAATGGGGCAAATGAAATAGATGATTATGATTACATGGAGAATCGAGACACCAAAAATTAAAAATTGCTTTTGAGAAAAATAAGACATTTGGAGGGCAGGTAGAGAGGTTTGGTATATAGTAAAGAAGCTCATCAAAAATTGGCCCTTGTATCCTTTGAGATAGAATGTAAATCAGATAACTTCTATGAAATAAAATGAAGTATGAAGTGTTGGAGCACATGTGTACTTATAATTTATTTATAATTTAGTATAATTTGTAAGTAAACTCTTGAGCTTCAGTTTATGAGGAAGCATGGGGCTTTTTCAAGGCATCGAGAAGCTCATTTTGGTGGCCCATTGTTCATTCTGATGCCCTGTTCATTTCAGATTCTTGAGGGTAAATCCCCTTATTTTGGATATTCAATTGCTGGAAATATGGACCTTGATAGAAATTCCTACCCTGATGTTGCTGTTGGTTCCCTCTCAGACTCAGTAGCTGTGTTCAGGTGTGTGATCTCTGACTTCAGTTAAGTATGTTCAGTATTCAGGTTCCATTCAGATTTTGATCTTTTTAATTGAAAATCATAATACCTATATTTCAAAGTCAAAGGTTTATATGGATTTTGAAGATTTTTTTTTAAGAGCGGTATAACAATGTGATAAAAACCTATTTGGTAATGCCTTTCTAATTTTGAATGGAGAAGAAATCAGAGCTGGTGAAAATTTTTACTTCATAGGTACTTTTAAAGCCTTATGTTTTGATAAAAGAGGAAACATAAAATTTGACAGTACAAAGAATATAAGGAAGGAAATATAAGGAAGAATCCCCTGACTTTCCCTATCCATTAGCTCCAGAATTTTGGTCTGTATCCTTTTAGTCTTTCGTGTTCTGTGAACGCACATGTGTATTTAACAAAACTGAGCTCACAACGTACATATTGTTTTATGATCTGCTTTTGTCTGTTTGTAATGCCTGGTGGACTTTCCTCATGTCGGTGAGTTTATAGCACACCTGTCCTCGAGCACTTTTCTGAGATGAAGTTAATGGCTGCCTGTAAGGTGCCATATGGCTGGGTCTAGTTTATTTAACCATCGCCACACCGTCCTTGGATGTTTATGTTCCTTTCCAGGTTTGTTTGTTTTGTTTTTTTTCATGATAGACAGGCTGGGAGATATCCTTACTTTTGTTCATGTCCTGAATTATTTCCTCATGATAAATTCCTACAAGTGAATTTGCTGAGTGGAAGGGCGTATGTGTTTTCAGACTTTAGATTCAGAGTCACCAAAATGACCTCCAGAAAGGCTTCCTCGGTTTGCCCATCAGGTTTGCGTGAGTCCCCTTGTTCCTAGCAAATTTCATCACTGCCAGGAATCACCCGTTAACATCATTTATTTCATTTTTAATTTTAAAAATAGCACATTCTTGTAAAAAAAGTTTTAATTCATAATTGTGGAGAATGCAAGTTCCCCAACATTCCCAAATTCCACAGAACAACTTTGGAGAGTTTCGGGTATCTTTCTGCTTCGAGGGCATCATCAAAGGGCCATTCTCAACTGCTGTTCTCTAAACTGGTTCTTAAAAATCTAATCTCTCTTGGTTCTCTCTCCTTGTCAGTATAGACACATCCATCTTATTTTTTCTAACAAGATATTATTCTTTTAATCTTCAATTGATAGAATTTTTAGTCTCTGACCTTTAGCTAATGTAAATAATGTGCTACAGAATATTATACATCTCTATGTGGTTGTTTTTTTTCTTAAGAAAAATTCCTAGAAATAGAATGCCTGGGATACAGGTATCTACAGAGAGGTCGTGACAGTTTATGCTCATGGCAGCAAGCTGTGCGAAAGCCCATTTCCTCACATCCTGAACAGCATCGAACATGATGAATCTATTCGATTTTTGCCCATGTGCTCTGTGACCCCATCTTTTGGCTGAATTTGCATTTCTTGGATTGTTACAATTAACCATTTGGGTTTTTCTTTTTTTCTTTCTTTTTTTTTTTTTTTACCTATTTGACTTTAGTTTTTTTTATGTGAAGAGAGACTATTTTAATATACCTTTTGTAATTCAAGACAGATCAAAAGGACAAAAATAGCAAGAATAAACAGACCTAAAAATATAAACAATAGAGAATGTAAGTACATATCAAACTGTAAACCATCATAATAAAAATTATATTTTCTTTCAAATGTACCTGAAATATTGCAAATATTTTTAGAAACCCAATCTCAATAAATTTAAATGGATAGTTACAATACAAACAGTATACATATATAGTTACTCATAGGGAATGGAAGTGAATAAATTGGACAAGACAGATATCAGCTAGACTTCTCTGGTTAGACATTGTTTTATAGGTTGATTTTTTTATCAGGTGAATATTTTACATAATTATAAAATGAATTTGTTTTCATCTTAAAGACTATCTTTAAAGATATTTTATTTTTGTGAAGATTTTATTTGAGAGAGCAAGAGCGAGAGAAAGCACAAGCAGGGGGGAGGGGCAAAGTGAGAGGGAGAAGCAGGCTTCCTGCCGAGCAGGGAGCCCGATGCAGGGCTTGATCCCAGGACCCTGGGACCATGACCTTAGCCGAAGGCAGACACTTAACCAACTGAGCCACCCAGGCGCCCCTCTTTAAAGATATTTTAAATGGTTGTTAATGTACAGTGAAACCCTAAAGGTGAAAAAAAAAAAAAAAAAAAACCACCATTGCCCTGTAGACTTCCAGAAGAGTGTCAGGTAGAGATGTAGCCTCAGCATCTAAAATACAATCCTAAGCCAAACCCCTGAGTCTTGTAAGAAACTGACGCCAGGAGGACACTTCTGAAGAGAATAAGAAAAAATAGAATACAGTATATATATATATATGTGTGTGTGTGTGTGTGTATATATATATAGAATGTAGTGTAGGATATCATAGAAGAAGTTTTCTGGTTAGATGGCAAGATCTATGAAAGCCATTTCATGGGAAAATTAAGAACCACCACAGAAGTTACAGGTGACAAGAGTAGGGGACGTGAAAAGTGGAGAAGGGTGTATCTGAGATGTTAGGAAAAAGGAAGTTTAAAAAAAAAAAACAAAACTGTGTGTATGTGATTGAGAAAAGAGAGACCTTGGGAAAACATGGATAGATCAGTAGTGGTTTGTGTTGGCGGTGATACGTATCTGTCCTAGGAACCCAGTGACCTTCTGAGCTGTCACACTGGAGACGCTGTGTGTGGTACTGTGTGCCCTCTGAGGTTAAAGCGTTCAGCCTGTGTTCTGTCTGGTGGTTCTCAAACACTGCCTTTATATGCCTGTTTCTCTTTGTTCATATAGGTATTAATCTTAAAATATTCAATGTTTATTTGTTAAGATTTATTTATTTTGGGGAGAGCGCACACACAGGCACAAGCAGTAGGGGCAGAGGGACAGGGAGAGAATCTCAAGTAGACTCTGCGCTGAACGTGGAGCCCATCACAGGGCTTGATTCCACGACCCTGAGGTCACGACCTGAACCAAAACCAAGAGTTGGGTGCTTAACGGATTGCACCACCCAGGCACCCCTTAAAATATTCAATGTTTTTAAAAGGTGAAAGAATATAGAACATTCATCAGAGTGCAGTTTGCACTTCTAGTTGAGGTATAGCCCTCAGTTATCAAGAAGACTTGACTTCCTGTACCAAAATTTGATTACCATGTTTTCTCAGCACATAACCTATTTTTAGGGAGTTAAATGTTTGCTTCTAAATATAGCTAGTATATATTAAAATATTATTTTCCTGTCCCAATAAGTAGGTTGAGTATAAACCCTGTGACCTTGTTCCTTCTTTCCTCAGAGACAGCACAAAAGTAAATTTTAAAATCCTTTCATTAAAAAAAGGAGAACCCAATTTCCTTATTTTACAAATGAGGAAAGGGAGGCCCAGGACTGCTTAAGCTTTGAAGGCTGGATCCTGGGAGCACAGAATCCCAGTGTCTGGGCATTTTTCCCACTAAATCATATTAGTACTTCAAGGTAGTTCATAAATACATGCCAGTCAAACAAGAGGTAGCTGAACCAGTAAGATTTGCTTTATGTGTTAAGGCACATTTTTCCTGATTCATAAGGTACTGTGCACTCAAAATTCTATTTGTTATGTTTAAAAAAGCAGAAATAAGTGGTGCCTGGCTTGCTCGGTTGGAAGAGCATGCAACTCTTGATCTCAGGGTCTTGAGTTTGAGTCCTGAGATGGGTTGTAGAGATTACTAAAAAAAAAAAAAAATTTAAAAGGATTTTAAATAAAAATGTTTTAGGCAGAAGTGTGTGTTATTTCCTTCTGATATCTATGTCACATTAAGGCCTTAATACTGTGATATATAAAACATTCTTGCATCTCTAGCAATTGGTTTTAAGATATTTGTGTGGATTTTTGCCTCTTAAATATGCTCTCAAAACTTTAATTAGGAATGTATCTGGTTAGTATCTTAGAAACTAGCAGCTGTCTAAAATAACATTAGAAAGGTAAACAATTGAGATAGAAGGAAATGTAGAAACAGGAATGTGGGCAGCATTTGTCCTTCTACAGGCTCACACCTTGCCCATGAACGTACCCGTGTCTTCTCTAGCCTCTCGACTGATTCCAGAAGTTCCAGCTCGCTGTCTGGGATTTCAAATGCATTTTCCTATCTTCCCCAGGATGGCTGGGTTACCAGAAGCCCACTAAAGTCAGTCTAACTGGATCCCTGTGGTAATGAAACCATGGAACCCATTCTGAGTTTTGGTTGGGGAGTGACTCGGATGAGAGGGGCCCCTCTCCCCATCTCACTTGCACCATATCCTTGGATTTGTTGTACTTGTGGCGGAGGTCAGGACATAGGCTGGTGGGGACCCCTTTGGCTGTGGGAGGTAGGGGAAAAGCTGGAAGGGAGAGCAGAGATGTTTTTGTATGGTGAGAAGGGCCAAAGGTGTGGGATTCCAGCTGCTTGCGTGTGTTTGCGAGGTTAGGGTTAGGCAGAGCAGAGACGGGAAAGGCGGAGGGCATGAAGCGTTTGCTTACGGAGATCCCGTGGGGGTGGAAAAGTTGTAGTCCCTTCTGCTGGCAGGAGGTTCCAAGGAAGGGCAGATGTTTGTAGGATGGAGCCCTGTCAGCTCAGGTTTGCCTGTATTCCTAAAATTCATGTGTATGTAGAAACCCTGATAGTGAGTGTCTCTGGTGGTAGGTGTATGTGGGTTTTTAACCTTTTTGGAAGGTATTTTGGCAAGATTACTCCTAATTAAACATGCACATATTCTTCAACTCTGAAGTTCTGCTAGGAGTTTATCCTACAGGGGAATTCACATGCATGCCTAGAAACATGTCCAAGGAGGTTTGTCAGAGCTGCAAGCCTAAAAACAGCCTAAGAGTCTACCTGTTAGGGACTGGTTGAATCTGTGCTGTTGCATGGGTGCAGAGCAGAACCACCAGTCTGAGAGGGAATTAGATCTGTGGAGAGGCAGGAGAAGGCCACTGAAATGTCAGTGGGAAAAAGCAGCACTGAGCGGTGTCTGGAAGGACATACCAGGCCACTTGGGGGTTTGGGTGGGGATGGAGCCATAATATTTGCCTGAAAACTCTAGAACTTTTGCAAATTGCCCACGTTCCTTTCCATTTAAAAACTTCTGGTAAGATGACAAAACACTTGATAATTAGAAATAAATGTTATATTTAAAACGTTTGGGTAAAATTTGTATAATCGGGTTTTAAATGGTATCTGCTAACCGTTCTTTTCTTTAGCAGTGGGGGACCATTTTTCCCCCCTGTGGTTTTTAAGATACAGTAGGCAGCTGATCGCATGTGGATTCATCTCACACTGAAGGTAGCAGAAGGCTGAGCCTGTGTTTTACTCCTTTGTTTTCAGGTCCCGGCCTGTGATTAATATTCAGAAAACGGTCACCGTGACACCGAGCACGATCGATCTCCGCCAGAAAACATTCTGTGGGGCGCCCAGCGGGATATGGTGAGAGCTCTCATAGCCCTGCTGTAGGGTGGCCCTGTCGCTCTGAGGAGCTGCAGGCAACAGTAAGGGGACAAGGAATCTGTCCAGTGAACATACCACATGTTGCTCATCCGTGGGCAGTGGGGGGATTTGAGACCTGGGGACCATGAGGTGGTTTGTTTTTTTTCCTACTACAGCAGTGCATCTTTTAAGGAATATGTGTTTGATTTTGTACAGCCTCAAGGTGAAGGCCTGTTTTGAATATACTGCCAAACCCACAGGTTACAATCCTTCGATAAGTAAGTACCCAGTACCTTTAAAAATTATGTATGTTCTGTCTGCCAGGTTGAAAGTAATGCATAAGTAGCAGAAAAATAAAACCGCAGTGGCCAACCTGGGTTCATAAATTCTTGCATAAGGAATTCAGTGGATCTGTTGTCTTCTCTTTAATCAGGAGGGCAAAGCACAGGAGGGGATAACTCTCCATTTGGTGTTCATTTGAATTTTCCAGAGCAGATGGTTTAGGACAGCAGGCCTTGGAAAAGTACTGATTTGCTACCACAACCGTTTCCTCCATTTCTGCCTTTGAAGAGCAACGTGGAAAATTGGTTTTGCGGTTGCGAGGTGGTGGGCGGTGGTTTTGGAGAGTGAGTACCGGAGCCTGAGTATCATGCAGAGTTGCTGGCTTAGTCTCTCCTCACCACGTGGCCCCCTCCCAGAGGCCTCCCCGGCCCAGAACACCCACGCCGTGCCCCTGCAAGCAGGCTCCTGGGGGACTGGAAAGCTGGTCTTGAGAATGCAGAGCCCTGGGCTCTGCTCTGGGTTGCAGCTCCGAGGCTGGCTCACCCCACAGCATGGCACAAGTCTCAACATTTAAGTTTTTATTTCCCTATCAGTAATAAAAATACCTCTAATAGGAATTCCTACATAGGATTGTGGTGGAAGGCAAAGGAGATATTGTGGCTAAGGCCATCTATCATTTATAAGGTATTATGCAGCCTCCCTTCTTTATAATCCAGACTATTTTGCCGCAGGTTTAGACAAGGCTAATGACACTCTAACAGTGGTGATGATCACCAGAGCCTTCTGTGGTAGGTGTTAGTAACAGCCATATGTTTTCAGGTGTAAGCCCCCTGCTCCAGCTCCAGGCTGAAGATGGGGACATGGGAATTTTTTTTTAAGATTTTATTTATTTATTTGACAGAGAGAGAGCACAAGTAGGCAGAGTGGCAGGCAGAGGGAGAAGGAGAAGCAGGCTCCCCGCCGAGCAGGGAGCCTGATGCGGGGCTCGATCCCAGGACCCTGGGATCATGACCCGAGCCGAAGGCAGACGCTTAACTGACTGAGCCACCGAGGTGCCCTGGGACGTGGGAATTTAAAGAAAAGCTTTTCCCCAAAGAGCAAGTACAAAGAGTGAGCGTGATCCCCATCCTGGGTCAGGCGATGGTCCCGGCGGCCCCGTATGATGGCGTAGCATGCCACCACGGGAAGCCGCCTTGAGGGATAGGGTGGTTTGCAGTTTTTACTTTACCTTGAGGTAATGAGTTTTCTTAAGTTTCCTTCTGGTTACATAAAGTATTATTCTGTTTTCTTTATTGAAAAGATACCCTTTTAATAGCCCAGAATTTGGCAAATACGTCTGTCTTCCTGCAGTTCACCTTGTCATAGGCCCACTTCCTTTCCATACTTTAAGCCGTCCTCAGGCAGTTCCTTTGCCTCCCTCAGCTTTTTTGGCCCCTCTGCTGGGCTGTCTCCTGCTGTCGCCTCTCTCCCAGGGATCTCCCGACCTTGTTGGGACGCGTGCTTGGTGTTGCTGTATGATGGTCTGTGCACAGGGCGCTGGTGGCCTTTCACTCTGCCTTTTGATGTGGCTGGTATTTCATTGAGTGTTGGACACGATTCCTGGCATGGCTTTCATGGAGAAGAAAATGTTTTCTAGGATTTCTCACACACTTAGTATTGTTTGTGTTATTTCTACCCAGATGTGATACGTTACACTTGCCTGTTTGGATAACAGGCGTTTCACCATTGTGTTTGGAGTAGACTAGAGAGACAAGGAGAAATTGTGATTCTTTGATTAGATGAGGAGAGGAAATGGGGAAACATTTTTATTCTATGAGTCTGTCATTTTCCCACACCACTCTGACTGTAGATGTGAAGTCTCATCAGAGCTGTCCTTGTCTTCCCTCACGTCAATCATTTTCATAAAATTACAAACTTTGTTCTAGCTTTAATGCAGCATTTGATGCCCTATGTGTTAATTTCATGTTCAGTAACTGTGCCATTAACGAAGTGTTTATTTACGACTCTGTTAGCTGAGTGTTTACTGATGGCCTATCATGGATAGAACTTTCTTCTGTGAAGACGTTTATAGGGACCCTGTTTTTCCTTGCCTGTAGTTCCACAGTACTGGGAAATTCTAAATCAAATAGAACTTCCACCAAGCTGCATAAGCGAATCCATCTAAAATCCGTTCCCAGTGTCTGAGAATGTGAGTTTATTGTTTGATCAGGCTGTTTTAACTCGGTGGTCCTCAGATGTGGTGTTCCATACATGCAGATATTTATAATTGAGCCTTAATGAGTATTCTACTTGGCTTGCCCCTCAAAAGGTCAGCAAAGGTGGCCTGCAAGGATTTTAAGATGATGTGAACTGTCTGGAGGGTTAGGGAAGGTTAGAGTGGGCTTGGTAGATAAACGGTTTTAATGCACCCACACCCTCCCCCTGCTTTTGCCGTGAGGGGCACTCAGCATGTGAGCCTTCATCTGGTTCGTTGTGAAGTTAACAGGTCATTGATAAATGGATGATGTCAAGGCTACAAGGCTAAAATGGAGGCACATTCCATTTGGCAGAAATTACTATTGAAACTGTGTCTCTAAATTTTGGTCTTGCGTATCTCAGTAGCTATTGTTTCGGCATAAGAATAACATCCTATTGTTTGTGTGCGTGTCTCTGTGTGCACTGGTGTGTGTGTTGATGTGGTGCCGGTCACTCCCACTTCCGTTCAGCTGTTCTAAAATCATACTTACATCAGGTGTTGTCCCGTTGCCGGGGAACACAGTGGCGGGCAGACTGATGTGGTCCCCGTCCATACCTTTGCAGTGCGGCAGTCACAGCGAAGTGGCCAAGGGTAGTGAGTGGGGAAATGGAATACCGTCCGATCCCCCAGGAGAGGTCAGGAACGTCCCCACGGAGGAAGTGATGTCCACATTGAGATCCGAAGGAGGAGCAGAGTTAGGCAGCCAGGGGGAGGTGGAGAGGGCCGGGGTCCACCTGGCAGAGGAAGAGAGCGACTCATGCAGAGGCCTGGAGGAAGTGGAAACCTGGACATCTAAGAGGCTTTATAAAGCAGTTGTCTTGGGTATTTGTGACAGAGACTTCGAAGCTGACACCGCCTCTGCCCTTCACTGTATGATCCTGGACCAGTCACCTACTCTGTGGGCCTCTATTTCTCCAAGAGGAGGGTATTAAAGTAGATGCTCTTTGAGGCCTCTTGTGAACTCTTCTGAACTTCTGAACTGCATATGAGAACATGGGTGGTTCATTTTCTGTGTTTTCTGGAGATTTTTTTCCTTAAGGCTGCCTTCTCTGGCCCTATACACACTTTGGTTTGCTTCCCCTTCTCATGGTTCGTGATGAATGAATGAATGTGAGTAATTTAAATATCCCATAAAGAAACATTGTAACTACGTCCAGCAAACCAGCAAAGAATGCATTCTGAAGTCGAGAAATGAGATTTTGATCATCCAAATCCTGGCTTGCCTCTGAGCACCATTAGTAGAGGTAATCAAGAACAGGATGTGCCTTCTAGGCCTTTGGAGGTTGGAAACTTTGGTGTGGGAGATACAGTAGCTGGCAAATGGGCCCTCTAGACTCTAAAAGGAATGTGTTTTACCTTTCATTTCTCTTAAATGAAAAGTCTCCTCCTGTTGTCAAAAGACTTCTCTATCTCTAATATGTATTATTCCCATTTTAGACAACTATCCTTTATCAGTGCTTCTTAAACTTTAATGTGTCTAAGAACCACCTGATGGTCATGTTCAAATGCAGATTCTGATTAAGTAGGTCTGGCTGGGGCTTGAGGTTCTGAATGCCCAACAGACCTGAGGAGAAGCTGCTGCTGGATGGGGCCACGTAAGCAACAGACTGCTGAATGGGAGTCAGTGCAGGCCTTTCGGGAGTGCTGTGTCCCCCGTTATCTTTAGTGCTCGGAGTTCCTGAAGTTTAGCCAGAAATCCTTGGATGCTGCTCAGAGCTTCTGATTCTCGAGCTCCCCCAGGTGGCCCAGTGGAAATTTAACTTCACAAACTCTTAACAGCAGTGGGCAGGAAAGCACAGCTTGACCTGAAATGCCATAAATCAGTCAAAATGTACATTCCCAGGAAATGTGAACAGTAACAAGGGCAGTGGGAAAAGTAATCTACAAGGAATCAGAATAACGTAAAAGGGAACTCACTGTCCTTGCGGCTGAACTGTGCATGGATATACTCAAAGTTCATAGGATTTTATTTATTTTATCTAGCCATTTTGGGCACACTCGAGGCTGAAAAGGAGAGAAGGAAATCTGGGCTGTCATCAAGAGTTCACTTTCGAAACCAAGGCTCTGAGGCCAAGTATACTCAAGAGCTAACTCTGACCAGGCAGAAGCAGAAGGAGTGCATAGAGGAGACCCTCTGGCTCCAGGTGAGGCCCGCCACCAGTCAGGTTGGTTGTTAGAGGGAACAGCAGCTGGGTTTTATGGTGGCATAGGTGGATCTCTGAACCTTACACCAGCAACCTCTTATTCAGGACAAAAGAAAACATTGTTTGGAGCTCCCCAGTAGCGTTGATACCATGCTTCACTCTGCATACTTTTCAGGAAAATATCCGAGATAAACTGCGTCCCATTCCCATAACTGCTTCAGTAGAGATCCAAGAGCCAAACACGCGGAGGAGAGTGAACTCACTTCCGGAGGTTCTTCCCATTCTGAATTCAAACGAACCCAAGACAGTTCACAGAGATGTAAGTCTTCCTGACTTTTGTATTGCCAAAGCTTCTGCCATATTATTATGCTACATCATATGTCTTTGAAGGCAGGAGGACTAGTGATTTGCTTTTTTAAAATCCATTCCTTTGTATTATAAATAGGCTTTTTAATATATGCCAAGTTTGTTTGAGATTTGTTTCCCAAATTGACAACAAATATAGAAATATATGGAATACAATTTGGAGCCAGAGAGTATTGTTCTTAATAATTTTTGGCCTTACTGAGACTTACTGAGAGTATAATTGGCAGAACTCATTCTCACATCAAGTTTCTCCTATGGCCATTTGTTAGAAAAATACACTGCATTTTACCACTGAGAACATTAAAATGTAGAAAATAAACTTGTTAGTCTGAACGTTGAATCAAGAATATAAAGTTCCTTAGCCATGAAATAGTTATTTAGTGGCTAACGTAGCCCATGTAATCTTAGGAAGACAATTCATATTGTATGGCTTGCTCTATGCCTCCTATGAGGTGGGGCCTATTTGCTAGGGTTTAGCGTGGCTGAGGCATGAGAATAGGCTGGGGACATGTGGCATCCTGATCTGGCATTGGTGCACCTGCTGTCAAAATCCAGTTGGTGCTGGAGTGTCCACTCTGTGGCTCTTGGTTCTGATGGCCCCCTGACAGAGCATCATCACTATTATTGGTACTTCTTACAGTATCCCTATGAAGTCAGCTGGTGGCATCCCCATATCACCAGTGGTGACACTTGGACTCTGAAAGGTTAAGTGACTTGCCCAAAGCCCCACGGCTAAGTGTGTAGCAAAGCCAGGTTTGGAAGGTGGACCTGTGTGGCTGCAGGGCTCACGCTCTTGACTACACCTCAGTGGCCTGGCCAGAGTGTTCTTACAGCACAGCTCTGTTCAAGACGGTTCCGTTAAAGGCACTGAATGCAGGGCAGAGTACTTTTGAAGCTTCTGCTATGGTAGCTGTTGCACAGGGAAAGGCTGTATGGAAACAGCCAGTCACTGTTGCGGTCCCGAATGGCATGAATTACAGTGGTTTTGTTTTCACCAGAGAGGGAGACAAACCCTAAGAGACTTAATCTTAGGAAACAAACTGAGGGTTGCTGGAGGGGGAGGAGGGGGGGATGGGGTGATTGGGTGATGGACCTTAAGGAGGGCACGAGATGTGATGAGCACTGGGTGTTACATAAGACTGATGAATCACTGACCTCTACCGCTGAAACCAATAATACATTATATGTTAATTGAATGTAAATTAAAAAAAATAAAAAAAAACCCAAATCAACAATGGTTTTGTTTTCCTCCAGGTGCACTTCTTAAAAGAGGGATGTGGAGACGACAATGTATGTAACAGCAACCTTAAACTAGAATATAAATTTTGTACCCGAGAAGGAAATCAAGACAAGTTTTCTTACTTACCAGTGTAAGAATCGCTCTGTCTTCCAAGCAAAAATGACTGGCTTTGCAGTGGGTTACTGAAAACGTACTGAGCTCTTTGTCATTTTTGTTTTGTTTTGTTTTGGTGTGTGTGTGTGTGTGTGTGTGTATGTGTGTTATAGTCAGAAAGGTGTACCAGAACTAGTTCTAAAAGACCAGAAGGACATTGCTTTAGAAATAACAGTGACCAACAGCCCTTCGGATCCAAGGGACCCCGCAAAAGATGGAGATGACGCTCATGAAGCGAAGCTTGTGGCAACTTTTCCCGACACTCTGACTTACTCGGCGTACAGAGAACTGCGGGCTTTCCCTGTAAGTGGTCTCACAGCAGCTGGGGGCAAAGGCCCAGCCCTGGGTGGCCCGTGAGCGGCTGGTGATCTCGTGTTTTTCTGTTACAGGAGAAGCAGCTGAGTTGTGTTGCCAATCAGAACGGCTCGCAAGCGGACTGTGAGCTTGGAAATCCTTTCAAAAGAAATTCCAGTGTAGGTGATGCCTTCACATACTGCATCGTGCCGTTTCATGCCATTACAGGGTCGACGTGCTTGGTCTGTATTAACGTCTGTTTCTACTTTGCAGGTGACTTTTTATTTGATTTTAAGTACAACTGAGGTCACCTTTGACACCACAGATCTGGATATTAATCTGAAGTTGGAAACGTAAGACTTACTTCAACCTTTCCATTCAGAATTATTTCATGAAAACACAGCCAGTCAATGAATTGGCTCTGCTCTGACTCAGAAGTGTAATTGTAATGAGAAAACTGACTGTTAAAATGAAACCCTATTGTTTCCTTTTCATTTTCAGAACAAGCAATCAAGATAATTTGGCTTCAATTACAGCTACAGCAAAAGTGGTTATTGAACTGCTTTTATCGGTCTCTGGGTAAGTGTTTGTGTTTAGCATAACAAATCAGTGTTTAAAAGAACCATTTACAATCTTCCGCTAAAACTGGTGTTTTTTAATTTAACAGAGTTGCTAAACCTTCCCAGGTGTATTTTGGAGGTACAGTTGTTGGTGAGCAAGCTATGAAATCTGAAGATGAGGTGGGAAGTTTAATAGAGTATGAGTTCAGGGTGAGTTGCAGCAGTTGTTCTTTTATATATACCCAAAGCGAACATATACTATATATGGTAATATATGTAATATAATTTTAGTAAATGTGAATATGTAACTTTAATATGTAATATCAACATTAATAAATATTAATAAGCATGATAAATCCTCAGTTAAAAGTGAGTTTACCAACGTTTAAAGTACATACTGGCTTACCGTAAAAATTTTGTCCTCCAGAACGGAGAACACAACTGTCATTCGAATCATGGACTTTGTTCAAAATCCAGTTCAGTTTGGTCATTTTCTTATTAGAGAGTTTTCATGTATAAGTGGTGCAGAGACAGAGGAATCCCCCCCGCCCCGAGTCTGTCTGTAACACAAATCTCAAAGTAATTGATACCTGGCTTTAGAATGTGTTAGGATTTTTTTCTTCCATTGTGAGGTCCTCTCTCTCAGCGCGTGTGGTTAATGTTGCCTCACGTTTTACAAGCCCAGTGCCCGTGAGAACACTCATGCTTGCTCTGAAGCATTTCTAAGCAAGAATCACAGTGACTCTCAGTCCAGTTGGGTGAACATAAGTGCATGGTGCAGAGGTGGCTCATAACTCATCTGTGGGTTTGGATCTGCATGGCTCAAAGATGCCAAGACAGCACAGTGGCCATGGTGGAGGCGAAAGTCTGAGATGGCAAGAAGGTGCCCACCCCTGACTCCAGCAGGGTGAGGGGCTGAGTTCTGCTCTGTGTGTCTCAGCATCGCAGACACAGCTGTGACAGGGAGTGATGGCAGCAGTGAGGATGCCTGTGTAGGTGTGGCTGCCAGAGGTGTCTCTGGGGCCCACGGCAGTCCTGCCACACACACAGCTCACTCCTCATTTGGCTTCTGCTGCAGGAAGTCGCTGTTTCCGGCTTGGACTCCTGATTCACGGACGTCATTAACGGTTTTACTCAGGCTCTCAGTTGCTCCCCAAGCGCCTCCTTGTAGTAGGAGACAGGGGCAACTTGACTTTTGCATAAGGTGGGGCTTCCCCGGAGCAGGCTGCTGGCGCACTGCCGTGGCCCAGACTCCTCTGCCAGGCAGGCCGGCTACAGAGCGAGTCACAGAGCTCCGTGACCCTCCCAGAGCATGTTGAGAGCGTGGCGTATCTACGCTGCAGATTCTCTTGCACACAGTAGTTCCTGGGTTGAAGGAGCAGTCGTTTCTCTTTTACCTTTCCTAGGCATGCATCTCTATTGTGGAGGCCCTGTCTACCTGTAGTCCATTTTTGGAGCCTATACTTTCATTGGAGGATTATGCCAGATATTTCCTTCCCCGACCCCTTGCCCACAGGAGCTGCTACTTAATTTTATATTGAGAGAATTACACTGAGATATAATACGTATTATTTCCTAACAGGTAATTAACTTGGGTAAACCTCTTAAAAACCTTGGCACAGCAACCTTGAATATCCAGTGGCCAAAAGAAATTAGCAACGGCAAATGGTTGCTTTATTTGGTGAAAGTAGAATCCAAAGGATTGGAAAAAATAGCTTGTGAACCACGAAGTGAAATAAACTTCCTGAACCTAAAGGTATGTTGACTTACCCTCTGTCTTCATAGTGTACATAAGGGAAGCGAACTTTTGTGGGGAAAATCCTTACTTTCCTGAGGAAAGTGACATGGTGGTGTGCTGACTTCTTTGGTGTCACATTTTTCTCTTATAGTTGAATAACCAAGTCAGGCTGAGGATTTCTGCTGATTGGCTACCATTATGGCACATCAGGGTGATTCAGTGCTTGTTGAAGGAAATGACGTTTTCTGGAGTTTTAGGACCCAGTATGACCTATAAAGAGGACTGGGATGTGCTTCTGGGGTGGGCCAGTGTTCACTCCCAAAATAACCAAACTCATTACAAAAGATACTGGCACTTTAGCAAGAGACCTTCAAAGCTTTCATTCTTATTTTTTTTTAAAGATTTATTTATTTGAGAGAGCAAGCACATGGAGGGAGAGGGGGAAGCAGATGCCCCACTGAGCAGGGAGCCCCATGCGGGCTCGATCCCAGGACCCTGAGATCATGACCTGAGCCAAAGGCAGGCGCTTAACCCACTGAGCCACCCAAGGCACCCCTCATTCTTATTTTTTTTTTTTAAGGATTTTATTTATTTATTTGACAGAGAGAGACACATCGAGAGAGGGAACACAAGCAGGGGGAATGGGAGAGGGAGAAGCAGGCTTCCTGCTGAGCAGGGAGCCCAATGCGGGGCTCGATCCCAGGACCCTGGGACCATGACCTGAGCCAAAGGCAGATGCCTGATCTCACCCAGGCGCCCCTTATTTTTTTTAATAGTTAATATTTATCAAGTGTTGATTGTGTCTCAGACACTGTGCTAAGCATTTTATTTGCTTTTTCTCATTTCGTTCTCTTCATAGTCCTTTGAGGTATTTTTCTTATCCCTACCATTTCACAGATGAGAAAATTGAGATTTAGAGAGATTAACATTTTAAGCACTTAGCAGTTAAGAGGCAGATTCTGCATTCAAGCTCAGCTCTGCCTGTTTTCAAAGCCTGTACTCGTGCACACTGACATTCCCAGTGTGATGATCTGCTTTGTTATCACATGTCTGTTTCTTTTCTTCTTCTTTTTAAATGCTTGTGTTGAGGGCTGACTTTTAGTAGATCACAGTAAGGGAGCTACTTTGTTTCTTTTAAGTTCTGAGGTGACAGTATGCTCAGCATTCACAGTTGGCAGCTTATAGAAGGATCCTTTGTTCATCAACTTTGAAAAACAAGATGGTCCATGACTCTTAATCCTATCTTTTTTCTTTTTTAAAGATTTTATTTATTTGACAGACACAGCGAGAGAGAGAGAGAGAGAGAGAGAGAGAGAGAGAGAACACAAGCAGGGGGAGTGGGAGAGGGAGAAGGAGGCTTCCCGCTGAGCAGGAGCCTGATGTGGGGCTTGATCCCAGGACCCTGGGATCATGACCTGAGCCGAAGGCAGACGCTTAACGACTGAGCCACCCAGGCGCCCGCCCTCTTAATCCTATCTTAAGGAAAATGCTATCTTAAAACTACTTACGTGGGTTAGTTTTCAGGACTCTACTTTGAATGAGTCACATACTCATTCTTTTGCTTTTTTCCGTTCGTCGGTGTCATTTATTTATTCCAGATGTGCTGACTTTTTATCACGTGTTAGTTACCGAGCTGGGTGCTGGGGATATAGGGATGGGATGTGATGCCTGATCTCGGGATGCTCAGTTTGGTGAGGAGACAGAAGAACAAAGCCCACTTTCTCTTCACCTGAGTTTTAAAGTCAGAGTGGGAATAAACTACCTGAATCAAGAAACTTGCAATGAGATTGGAACATTTGTGGATTTTACACTTAAATTGTTTCTGTGCCTTTGGTAACAGGAGATGGGGAAATACTGTTGATTATGTGAATTTGGCATCCTTTGGAAGGGAGTGCTCATGAGGTCTATGCAGTAGTGACCATTACATTAAGTGAGAACTATTTTGGATATAATTTCTTTTCAGGAGTCTCACAACTCAAGAAGGAAACGGGAAATTGCTGAAAAACAGATAGATGATAACAGAAAATTTTCTTTATTTGCTGAAAGAAAATATCAGACTCTTGTAAGTATTTCTCAACAGCCTGAGTATTGGGCAGACGGTGGCAGGATGCCCGTTACTGTTGGATTTTAACTACCACCCTTTTCTCCCCAGAACTGCAGCACGAACGTGAACTGCGTGAAAATAAGCTGCCCGCTGCGAGGGCTGGACAGCAAGGCCTCTGTTGTTCTGCGCTCGAGGTTATGGAATAGCACGTTTCTAGAGGTTCGGCTCTGCCTTGAGGCTGTCCCCTGGAAGTCAATTTGCTATCTCTTAGGACCTTTCTCATTTCCTAAACGCATTTGCTAACTTTGTCTCCAAACAGGAATATTCCAAAATGAACTACTTGGATATTCTCACGCGGGCTTCCATTGACGTAGCTGCCGCCGCCGAGAACATCAAGCTGCCAAACGCAGGCACTCAGGTGAGAGGTTGTTCCGCCTTCCCAGAGTTCAGAGCCGATCACTCCTCCACTGCACGCCCGCAGCCTGAGGACATGCTACCTTGGCAGTCCTCCCCCTCACAACCCTGTTACCCCCATCAAGGAGAAGTCCAATGATGCTCTAAGGGGCTGCCACTCCAAGCTGTATTTTAATAGAATCACTGGAGAAAGGAGTACATCTAGGATCGTCTAGTTCTGCAGTACACATGGTAGATTTGGGAAAGAATGGGTGCACCTCCCACCTCTATAGAAACCCCAGGTCATCAACTATCCCCAGTGCTGTAGCCACTGCCAGAGTGTCCCCAGTGATGGTAACCACCACTTTATGGAGTAGCTCATGGCATGTGTGGCCAGCTGTAGTTACTAGAAAAGATCTCTTTACATATACATGAATCCAGAGTTGAATCTTACAAAATCGGTCCCTGGTTATGCCCCTTGGAACAAGCCCAAAATAAGTCCTTTCTCTTAGCCATGTAGTAGCCTTTGGAGTAACTGAAGGAAACTGGCATGCCCCTTGGACAGGTCTCTCGTTCTGTTCAGAGCAGAGCCTCCAGCTCTTCAGTTACCCGTCAGGCCAGGCCCTCTCCTTCCTGGGCTAGCCCTGGTCCGGCAGTGTGACTCCTGGATGGGCAGGGCGCGGATGTGTGATCTGCCTCGCTCGGCTCACCGTGAGGCCTTTACCTGCCAACACCGTGGCCCCATGCTGCTATCAGTCAGACTAAAACTTGGTTTTTCGGTGTACACAGAAGATTGTGTTTGTACTTCCAGCAGCTACTGGTTGTGTGTTTCTGTTCTGCTGCAACTTCCAAGTGTTTTCAGCAGGATGTGTTGTTAAGCTATAGCTCCCATATCCCATCCTTGAGCAATTTTTAAAAATCTAAATACATGTCTTTAAATAGCTCCTTATGTTTTAGGTGGTTGGCTTGTGGTCTGTCATTTCAGTTCACAAAGTCGTTCTGACTCTTGATCATTTGCCCTCTCTTAGCTTTCTATCCCTTTTGTCTTTTTCAAAGCTGAGAAGCATAGCTTCTACATCCTCATCCAGGCAACTGACAAAAGTACTGAACAGAACTGGGGGCAGTGGCTGTGGGGGCACACTGGGGAGGGTTCCTTGTGGGGGGTCTGGAGCCCACAGGGGCTTGTGTCATGCTCTTGAGATACAATGCCTGCATGTCATGGACCAGAGTGTTTTGCAAAAGAGACTGGAGACTGAATCGAGAAAAAGACTGTGACTTACCGTTCTCCAGCTGATCTACTGATGTGCCTATGGAAGTTTTGGCTTCGGACCTTTGAGCCAGCTGAAAGTGCAGTGAGCCTCCCTGAGCACTGGTTTCTGAATACAGTGATCCTTGGCTGTTAAAATCTATCATCCAAACCCAGAGATGTTTGTCTGGGGCAGATGCTAAACTGGGCAGGATGCTGGGACAAGGGTTCTATAAATCAGGACTGTCCCAGGCTCACCGGGACATCTGGTCACCCTGGCCTTAGATCATCTCTGCATGCTAGTCCAGCCCACCTTTCTGCCTCTTACCAATAAGGCGTCGTAAGAGACTATCAACTGAACAGAACCTCCCTGAGAAGCCCTTTTCTGCCCCTCTGACTGGAGGCGCAGCCACAGCTTTCTGAAACTTGCAACCAGTAACCTGGAGAATCACTGAGTTTTTAAAGCTGGGAAAAGAACACACAACTTAGAGGGAAGGGACAGACATTTATAATGCATTAATTATCTGTAGTCCTCTAAACCTCAGAATGACAAGGTAGATGTACTCATTTTCCAAAAAAGCAAGCAGGCACAGCAGGGGATGCCAGTGGGGTCCTGAATTGAAACCTGTAAACCAGTCTGGTTTCAGGGCTCCTGTTCTTAACTCTGTAACACTTGCTTCCCATTAAGTCCCCAGATCTCAAATTCAGATGAGAAAACAACCCCAGGAAGGTTGTCTCTCCCCCAGGGTCATAGGACTGGCGGGCATGTGGAGGGGAGACCAGATGTTGGCCTCACAAGCCCTCATCAAGCGCTCTTGTTGGCTGGAAGATGATGGAACTGGGGTGCTGGTACCCAGTCTAGCGGCTGGGTCACAAATGAAAGTGAGCTTATCTTGGGCATTACATGTTAGGGCTTGGAGAACTCAGGCATGCTAATAGGAATTGGGATCTCTGCTGTGATCCTCCTTGGTTTAATAATTGGTGGATACATGAATGGATTAATGTCTTGTATCTAGAGTGCATTTGTCTTGAAAACAGAGACGTTTTCTTGCCTCTAGTCTTCTGGTACCTCTTCTATTGACTCTGATTTCTGAGCGACAACAGCTCCGATGCCCTATATACAGGTTTCTTTAGTATTTTAGAGTGTACTTTTTCTGGGCCTAAAGATTTAAGCTTAATTCACGTGTTAGGATGCTTTCCTTTTTTGTTCCCTCACTTAATTGGGGGTTTCAGTTTTATCCTTATCTTGGTTCAACCTTTGCATTTTCCAGCCCGAAGATCATTTTTCTTTGGAGATAGAAGCAGAGGAAGTGGGGTAATTCAGTCTCGTCTTTTGGTCTTCATATTAAAACTTCTTGCTTTTATTCTAATCCTGGCTTTAAAAAGGAAGGAAAAAACCCCTTTAATTTCCTTATAACCCAACCAATTTTAAGAGTTTTGTGTTCACTTCTTGATACAACACTTTCAACACCCTGTTAGAACAAAGTCTGAGAGAGCTGGTCACCTAACTGAACCAGATAAAATGGTTACATTTTAGCATCCATGAAATCCATCCAGTTTACAAGCACTTATTAAGGACACACTGTCTGCCTTCCCTGCACAAATGCTAGAGAAGCCAAAGTTTAATAAGATACGCCATGTGAACTGTTAAGAATTTCATGGTCCATGTGAACCAGGAGATAACTGTTGAATTGAGCCGAGGAAGGGATTGTTTATTGGTTCTATTTCTATATCCCCCACTTCATTCCTAAGGAAGTTGGAAAAGAGTATCTGCTTCCTGGCTGCCAGAGATAAAAGAAAATATGGTAGGTAAAAGGCACATCATTCTTCAGGGGAATGTGATTTTCTTCTTTCGGCTCTAAATTCGGAGAATTTGAGATACGGATCCTTTTACAAGATGGGTTTCTGATACGAGGAACACTTACTAAGGGAATGAGGTGTTTAATAGAGACTTTTCTGAAAGCTACGAAAATACCTTCATGGAGTGATTTTTTTTACTGATGGTCAGTAAGAATAGAGGGTATGACGTTAGAGTGATTCAGGGAAACAATTTTGGCAGTGAGCAAGTGAATGAGGTCTAAGCACTGCTCATGATGGAATGGACTGCATCAGCAGAGCTCCAGCCCCATTTCCCCTTCCTGGGCACATGATGGATGAGGTGCACGTGCACTTCATCCCCATGGAAATGCCTAGATTTTAAAGAACTTCCCCCCCCCCCAAATTATTTTTGGAGTTGGGAGTAATTTCTACTCACCTCAACCTATCACTGTCCTCTTTGATGCCTAGTGAGTTGTTCTATGGTTTCTAAAAGGCTCCCAAATCTGGTTTGAATGGTAGCCAGACTTGGGGCTAGATTTCTCAGCTGGATTTCTACATACACCCCCCCGCCCCCCGCCACGAAATCAGAAATTACCTGTTCAGCTCTCATACTATTGGATTGCTGCCATTTACAGGCGTGGTTTCCTCTGTTATCAGCCATTTAAAAGGCTCTGGTGCACTATCTGATTATAAGGCTGATTCCCCTGCCATGGACCACTCTCCACTTCAGGTTTATCAGAGCTTATTCTTAAAAATGAGGATGGCCCTTCCAGGTTCTCACCTTACCCCCAAGGACGTACTGTACGCTTCCCTCTGCGAGATAGGGAAGCAAAGTTAAGTGATATAGAACAGGCTCATTAGTTGTTTTGTTTTGGCTCAGAGTAGGCAAGCTTACTGGTCACATCAAGTGCACTATTTTATCCCTCGTCTTTCACCATTCTTCCCACTTCCTGGATGCCCCTGTGCTAGCCCCAGTAATCTCAAGAAAGGGTTTTTCTAGTTTAAAGCTGGTATGCCTGTCGGGGGAAGGGAGGCGAGGGGAAGTGAGCCTTGGGGTACCCCCCCCCCGGGGGGGAGCTGGCTGGCAGTTTGAGCAAAACCTCACTGAGAGCATAACAGGAAACACAGTAGCTGATAAAGGTGTTAGAGTTGGTATAGCAGGCTGAAAACTGACTTCTTTGCTCTTAAATGTTCCAAGAAAAGCAGTTCTCTTTAAAGTATATTCTTAAGTCAGATGAGGTTGAGAAGCTGTTTTCTATTATAAGCAGAAAGGGAAGTATTTTAGTGAAGACCTTTTTTTTTTTTTTTTAATCGAAGCACAATGTAGACAGACATGGAAGCATTTTTAGGAAGCATCCGGGGTTCAATACTAATAGAGAGTACTTGACTGAAAACACTTCTCAGAACTTAAAGACTCGGACTTTTTGTTTACCCTTCACTTTACGTTTTCTTAAGTCAGAAATATCAGAAACTTCAAACTGGAAGCTCTCTCATCTGTTTACGGAGTCCTACTCCTAGCAATCACCAGGTCTTTTACAAGCTGTGAAAAACAGTCTCCTGGCATCACGGAAATCCACTTGAGAGTCCTAAACGCACAGAACCAAGTTGTTACAAACTGCCAGAAGCAACTTTTTAGATTTCTGAATAAACATTACTTCTGTTTAATTGGTATTTGCTAACTATCAAATGTCTAGAGCTTAGGCTTCTCATCAGCTGCTGCTTACAGCTCAAAGCCACCTCTGAAAGGGTCTACTTGGTCCAAATACACTGTCGAAGAACACGCTCCAGGCCATTTCAGGAAATTCTGTTGTGCATTGAGGGTCTTTAGACATCCTAAGGAAAAGTTAAAACGGTATCAGCAATGCAACTCCATCCTTATTTTTATATTTCACAACATCTTTAAAGTCCAAGTAAGGAATATAGGCTAATTGTACATAAAATGGCCCTTTTATTTCCATTACTGAAAACGAAAAGGGAAGGTGATCGTTCTCAACAAGATACCTGGTTATACGGATGAAACGAGATGTGCATTGATGATTGTTGAAACTTGGTGATGAAAAAAGATGCTTTATTATACAATTTCCTCTACTTTGATTCAATACAAAAGTTTTTAAAAGAGGAGTTATCAAAAAAATAACTTTGTCAAAACACAGTCCAGCATTTTCCAGGTTCTGGGAAAAGATCTCACATCAAAAAGGCATCTCATTCATCCATAGGCTGCGTTGTTCAAAATGTGTCTGGAAGCAGAATTAGAACTATAAACTCCTGGTATTCTCACCCCCCCCTTACAATGGTGCTTTCCTTTATGCCCCGTAGATTCGTGTGACTGTGTTTCCCTCAAAGACCACAGCTCAGTACTCAGGAGTGCCTTGGTGGGTCATCCTAGTGGCCATACTCGCTGGGATTTTGATGCTTGCTCTCTTAGTGTTTTTACTATGGAAGGTAAGTCCTATTTGGCATTTGAGTTCTAATGACCTAAACTTCATTTCATGTTTTTTTAAAAGAGTGAATTTACACTGACAGTCTGTACATTCCTTTGTAATGCTTCCCTTTTCCCATTTTATTATGAAACTTTGCCAATAGAGCAAACTTGAGAATTTTACAATGAACACCTGTATATCTACCTAGTACCTGATATTTAAAAGTATATTATTTGTATATTATAAGGAGTTTCTTAAGTAAATTTTGTTTTTCACATAATTTAGCATGTTTGGCAAATAACTTAAAAAATGTTAATACTTTAGCAATTTCTTCATCTAAAATTCTGAATCTAAGCCAAATTGTTGGGTATCACATTAATCTGAACTTGTATCCCTGTTAATTTCAACTTCTATAAAGAAATGTTCGTGGTAGCCACTGGGGCTTGTGACAGTTGCAGCTAGATTAGGAATAGAAAAGCATGAAATTCATAAACTCCATTGCAAGGGATCCTCATTGCCTCTCTCAAACATGAGGAAGATCTGGGTTTAATATGATGTTCTTCATTAGAATTTGGTCCTGCAAATAAAATTAGTATCTTCTCCTTGATTTCTGCCAGTAAACAGTCTACATTATAAAAATGTGTGTAATGAGATGGATACATACTTTTGTTGCCTAAGATTATGACCCGTAGAGTTTGGATTATTCTAAGTGACCAATGGAGGTTCACAGTCTCTTATCGACAATTACAAATTACAGGATACTCTGAAAGCTGAAAGTTCATAATGACTTATTTGGCAGCAAAACTTGACGACATGTGAAGAGAAGCTATTTATATTCTAGAACCTTTATTTAATGGTTCTGCTGTGAAACTAATGTTTTGATTAGAGTGGCATTATGTATGCAACGTATTACTTTTCTAAAATGCCAAAATTCTAGATTTCCAAATCTGTCTGGCCCAGTGGATTTTGGATTAAATGATTTTGAACCTCTACCAACAGTCCCTAAGATCAAACCATCTTTATCCTTTCCTTTGGATCCAAGAATATAATTGACAAGGATTCAGGATATTGTCACTTTCAAATATTGGACATTTCTTTTTTGTGTTATTTTTCCAAGTAACTTCCTTTTGCCAGTTTGAGATAATTTTCTGGTGTCCTCCAAATGTGTGATTTGGAGCTTGGTGACTGCTCATGCCAAGACAACTCCCTGCATTGGCTATTAGCCAGTCCTACCTCTGAGGTTCACTTCAGGCGGTAGGTTTCCCTGGTCAGCACAGGCAGCCAGCCATAGGAGATGCTCAGAAAATTATTATTTTTTTTTAAAGATTTGATTTATTCATTTATTTATTTGAGAGAGAGAGAATGAGAGAGAGAGAGAGCACGAGAGGGAGAAGCAGACTCCCCGCCGAGTGGGGAGCCCGATGCAGGACTCGATCCCGGGACTCCAGGATCATGACCTGAGCCGAAGGCAGTCACTTAACCAACTGAGCCACCCAGGCGCCCTCAGAAAATTATTCTGTTATCAAAAACTCAATCTGAAGTTTGATATTTGAGGATGGCCTTTGTGTGTACTTTCTGGAGGAGGTCACAAGGACAGTATTTTTCAGAGCAGGTCTTATTGGTGATCTCTAATGAGGGTGAGACATAGCAATGGGTTAAGATACCCAAGCTCTATAATTTTAGGCAAATCATTTCATCTCCCTGGGACACTGGTTTGCTTTAGCTCTTTAGTAAGTGGATCGGACTATATGATCTCATGGGTTTGAGCTCATGTTTGTAGCTCTAAAGTATCCAGAACTCATACGTGAACTCTAAAGTAATCAGACAACCTCTATAACCCCTACATGAAGACCATTTTTATTACTTTTGATATTCTTTCTGAAAATGAACTATTAATTTCATGTATTAAAATCACAGAACTTAAGGGCTAGAAAGGACTCGAGTTCAGTGGCCTTTAAAATTGGGTTCTGCATATCCATATAGGTGCCAAGATTAAGCTAGGTGGTGCAGCTAGGGCCAATATCCCCACTTCAACCAGAGTCGTTCTGATGTTACTTGCTTTTAATACCAGGATATTGCATAGAGTTTTGTTTAGAGGTAAAGAGAAAAGTTCTTCAGGCTGGTCCAGTCACCTTCATTTTGCCAACAAGAATGCTCAGGACTGTGCGTGTTAAGAATGTTGCCAAGCTGGAAGCAGGACCAGGACCCTTGGTTCCTGGTTCATTCCTTCACCCAACCTTATTTATCAGTATGTGTTACTGAAAGTTGGCTGGGTGTGTTCACTGTGTATTAAATGGAGGGAGTCACAAGTAGATAATCAAGATTAAGGGTTTGGATCAGTGCTGCCCAGTAAAACTTCTTGTGATAATGGAGATTTTCTGAAGCTGCACTATCCAGTGAGACACATGTGGCTACTGAGCATCTGGAATGTGGCTGTTGCAACTAAGCTATTTTTAAATTTGAATACCCACATGTAGTTAGTAGTTACCATACTGTACAAAACCGATCTAGATTTTTACCTTAATGAGTTGCCAGACTAGGAAACAGAATTTTCCAGGGGGGGCAGATTTATTTTACCAAGCTATATTTCAAAGGGCAGTTCCACAGCCTTACGAACAAGTAAATAGAAAAAGTCCTCCCTCTTTGGATGAAGGAAATTATAGTAAAAAGTGGAATTACACCTCTGTGTTGAGTTAGAGTGACCTAACCTGAGGAGCATAGGTTCCTACCACTTAAGGGTTACCTGGTGGTTCAGAATTTGGGAAAACGACAGCAATTGTTCTTTCATGATGGTGTATTCGAATTTATATTGTGATTTGCCCACAAACCCAAAGGCCTCAAGTAGATGGTGGTAGTTCTATAAAACTCACTGTGAAAGGCAGAAAAATGCAGTATCTATTTGGATTTGTGCTAAATTTTAGCAAACTTCTTTGTCGCAGAAAAACTGCAGAAGTCAATCTTTTGCCTATTTTAGAGTTCATATTCTCCTGCATGAAGAAACCACCCAAAGCTTCAATCAGATGGGTATATAATTTTCCTTTTAGGAGGATTTTTTTTTGTCCTCAGGATTTCGGTTACAGATAGAAAAATCAATTAGCTAATTAATGTCATCCATGTTAAGTATCTGACCAGAGACCCACGGTAATCAGGTTGGTTTGGTTGCGGTCACAGTATGACATAGTGTGGTGGCTGTTGTTTTGGCTGATCCATAAGTGGTCTCTCTGTAACAAGCTATAACTAGAAAACGGGTTACAATCTGAGATTTTTCTTTTGTTTAGCTCTTATACACAAAACTGTAAAACTGACCAAATACCTTGCTTCCTTATAGTGTGGTTTCTTCAAGAGAAATAAGAAAGATCATTATGATGCCACCTATCACAAGGCTGAGATCCATGCTCAGCCGTCTGATAAAGAGAGGCTTACTTCTGATGCATAGTATTGATCTACTTCTGTAATTGGTAATTGATCAATGTTTTTTAATTGCTAGCTGTGGGACCTGCTATGGTTGTGGTGGCTAACTTTAAGAGCAACAGCTTGCTGTGTGTGTCCCATTAACAGATGTTTCCAAATGTCCACACTGGCTTGCCTCGCTTGGATTTATTTTATTTCACTTGAAAGCTCAGTTTTGTTTTGTTTTTTTTAGAGACGCACAAAAAATCTTTTGTTGCAGGTGAGTTATTTTTGTGTTGTCAAACATCACCCACAGCAAGGAAGATGATTGAAATCGTTGTACACACAAAAGGAGGCATTAGACCTCCCTAGTAGCCCAGTTTGCTATGTGTTGTCAATCCCAGTATATAGCATCCCACTTGGAATTTCAAAGATGAATAAGAAATCATTGCAGGTTTCTTGTCCACTTTGGGATTTCCCACAGATAGAAGCTTGTGTTGACTGCCTAATTAACCTGTTGCATGTTGGAAACATTGTTTCTCTCTTGATGAGAAGGCTTTCTCACTGTCCTCCTTGATCTTGCTATGAAGTGATGGGGGAAGGCTTGGAATGCTTTTGTTGCTCAGTAATTGTTTTACGCTAGCTAAGCATGCAACTTCCTTTTCCTGCATATCTACTCCAGGTCAAAGACCATTACAACAAACTATGACTGTTGACCTGGTGGACATGAGGGCCAATTTCAGAAAATGGCTCTTTACCAAAGTGACCTCCATTATACAAAATTCTAATATAAAAATGCTCTGGACAGTTACGGTTTCAAATATGTTGTAATGGGAGTTTGACCTTGTTTCACGTTCCTAGAGATTTTATTCAACTTTGGGTCTCGGTTGATTTTTAAGTTTGTGTTTTGCTTCTCTTGTTTGTAAATCCATGGAAACAGGAATTGGTGGTAATTCCTTTTTCGATTTCTGTGGGCACGAGAGGATGGAATTACTCCTGTAATCCCTTTCCATGGCACTGTCACGATGAATCCCAGCCTTTCCATTTCAGTCCTACACACCACCCTTGATTTCCTTTTGTTAAATGAAGAGCCACATTTTGTAATAGTATTTTGGCTTTTTTGCACAAAATAAAGGAGTCCATATGGAAATGGCCGTAGAACAAAACTTCTTGGTCCATTTTTCCTAATGATTTAGTGATGACTGAATCTAATTTCACTTTGCCCCGTGCCATTTTTATCAGCTCATTCAACATACATGTTCTGTTCCTGTTACATGGTACACGTTGATCATTCATTCCAAGCATCTCCTCCTCCTCCTGCCCCTAGCTGCATTTTTAAATGAAAAACACATCTTTTCCATGAAACATATATTTTATTCACTTAAAAAATTCAGTTTGATTAAAAAATTTCCTGATATGTTCTCAGTCAAAATCTTTGGATCAGATTGAATATTTTTAAAAAAATGAATAAAATATATATTCATTAATAATTTAAGTGTAAATGTCTTCTGCAAAAGAAAATATGAGGGTTGCTCTGAAATTCTATGGGATACTTTCCTCAAGTTCTTTGCAGTACATGACGGATTTTATTATAGGACATAGTTGCTATGTGATTTATTAATGAAGCAGCTTAATTTGGAAGCACAACCGGAAATCCAGGCAGTGTAAAGAGCCTTGTAGCTAAAGAGAGATGTGTACTTAGCCTCAGGGGACAGAAGATTCTTAAACTGACTCGTTTGAACACTGGCATATTCAAATAATAATTGGCAAAATGTGGAAGAGAGGCATGATGAAATAAGCTTTCGTTTGTGGCCTTTAAAAAGATTGTTCTTTAAATTAAAATGATCTAATAATCTGAGAATGAGATCTTTTTAATATAGTGTTGTGATTATAAAAAATGGAAGCACTGTCCCATAACTGAGATTGTTAGTAAAGAGCTAGCTTACTACATTGTTACAAAATGTCAAGATAAGATGGAAAAACAGACTTTTCTTCTACTTTCACAGCTGTCTTCTCTTTTATCCCCACTGGCTGTTGTGTCTTTTCAACCTACTAGTTCCTTCTTAAAAGAAACCATGTGTTTTTTTTCCCTTCATCCAGAGGTAGGCGTAGCCGAACAGAAAGCTTAGACGTTCCCATTTTGTGCACTTGCTTTTCTTGCGGTACTTAATTCGTTTCTGCTTCTCTCTCCCCTCGGTCAGTGCGGATTCTTTAAACGCGCTAGGTACGACGATAGCGTTCCCCGCTACCACGCTGTGAGGATCCGGAAGGAAGAGCGGGAGATCAAAGATGAAAAATACATCGATAACCTTGAAAAAAAACAGTGGATCACAAGGTGGAATGAAAATGAAAGCTACTCCTAAAAGGGGCCCAGAAAAGCTTCACAGTACCCAAACTGCTTTCCCCCCACTAACTCAGAAATCTAAGTGAACTTACGAGGCCGCTCCATACCTGAATGTTACCTTCGGACAGACTATGCACGGTCCGAACTTACAGCTTTCACCGTGGATGCTGTCGTGCAGCCTGAGGCTCCCTGGGCTTGCACAGCCGCATTTAAGACTGTTGGAGTGGAGCTGGCTTTAACTGCCTTCATTTAACTTTCCGGGTTGCCTTTGTTTTTGGTGTGGCCGCCTGGCGTGTGCCGGGGCCAGCCGTCCTCAGTGGCTCAGCCTCTGCACCCCTTCTTCCCCTAGGCCCGGGCCGTCGGGGTGGCTGCATTTCAATGCCAAGTGCTCTCTGAAGTGAAATGTGCAATAGGTGATGTGGCCATCCTGCCGCCTTTTCCCAGGTGTGTGAATCCTCCTCCCATCACACAACATCCTGGTCTCACCCTTCCTGTTCACTAAAACACATGGCTGCAACAGACTTGAATGCTAGGTATACTTACTTGTATATGGTATTTATTTTTTTCTTTTTTACAAACCATTTTGTTATTGACAGGCCAAAGATTCTCCAGTTTACCCTTCCAGTTGGATTAAACAATCAGAATGTGGTTTGAATTTAGTGCACACACAAAAAATCCTTTATAAGTTATTACACCTCCCTTCATGACAGCCCTCACCCCCCTCCTCCAGACCCAGACTGTTTCAGAAATAGGATTTAACTGTAAGATGTTTAATTCTTACCAGACAGTGCATATTTCTGAGTCTAGAGCCCTGAGATCTCCTGCATATTTTGTGCTGTAACTTTCAGGAACTCTCGGAAATAAGGGGTTGGTTTGTTGAACTTTGGCACAGTGTAGGCCCCTGCTGCAAATAACGTATCATCAGGACTTGAAAGAAAGGGTTGGTGCCTATGGTGGGTCCAAATGGATCCAACATGAGTCTACTGAGTATCTGATACCAGAAGTCAGAACATCATAGGTTTTACATTTTTAAATGTTATTGGAATCATTTAATCAGTGAGTCAGTGTTCTGGTTTTTGCTTTGTTTCCTCCTACCCTATATTCCCCCAAATTACTTGGGACTGCGCTAACTACCATTTTAAATGTAAAAAGTGGCAGAGAAGGAAAACATTTCTGCACATTCGAGAGATTGAATAGATAGGAAATCTGAATTTTTAAAAATTTACTTCAAAATGTTAAGTTATATGGGGAATAACAGCAAACAGGTGCTAATTTGTTTGGATCTAGTATAAGCAGCCTCTCAATCTTTCAGAACAAAATACAACTGTATGTGCCACTGTTGCTTCAGAGCTTGGTTTTTTTCCTTTTCTGAAATCGTAGGCCCTTAAGATAGTAAAGACATTCTCATTGTACTTTGGAATTTTCATTCACAAAGATAGTTTTACAAACGATACTTTGTTTACAAAAATTTCTCTAAAACAGGTCATACCAGTGTTGAAATCTCCCTTTCTTGCTTAGGTAGGTAACTTGTAACCGAATGCACTGGCTTTACAGGTTGCCAAGCAGCTGATATTTTGAAAGTGTCTATAGACCTTTGTTTAAAAAAAAAAAAAAAAGTCCTAAAAGGGAGGGAGGAGGTGGAGGGCTGGTTCAACAACAAAGAATGTAATGGTGTTTGTTAAAAACGTCATCTCAAGTCAAGTCACTGGTCTGTTTGCATTTGATACATTTTAATACTAACTAGCACTGTAAAATTATGATTAGAAAATACCTGTGGATATTTGTATAAAAGTGTGAAATTTTTTTATGAAAGTGTTCATTGCTTAGTAACACATTATATATGTGAAACAAACTCTAAAATTATAAAAAACCTGAATTGCTTTATTTTATGGAGCCAAACTCAAGTTTTTGATATTTTCTGTGATTGAGGGTTTTTTTTTCCCCCTTTGGGCTCTATTGCACAGTTGTCAAAAGAAAATGATCTTAAAGATGGTTTTATTCAAGATATCTACAAACTGGGAGATGTCATTTAGCAATGATACCATGGCGTGAAGAGTAAGAGTTCTTATGGAAAAGTTGCTTTCTTCTGAGAAGATATTTTGGATGTGAGTGCAGTTCTGCTGTGACATTATTGATCGCCAAGGACTGATTTGGCAGAACCGACTGGCCTGAAAATATTTTCTTCACCAAAGGATTTTGTTTAGATTTAAGCAATTTTATGAGCTTTCTCTAGCTGGATTATCACAATCTAATAAATGAAAATAAGGCATGTATATAGAGCTCAGATAATATAGCATGCCCTATCCTGAATAAATTTCCAATGCAAAATGTCTTACCTGTCTAGTAACTTAAGTAACGGTTTTCTACTAGGTATTATATAGTGAATCTTAGTCTTCTCAGTTCTTTTGGTGGCAAAACCAGTCTGATCTTCAAAGAAATGTGATGGGTATTTTAATGACAGACCAGTGTGAATGAACTTTTATTCACAGTCCCATGGACCTACCCAGATTAATGACTATAATATGTAACCACCATAATCATTCAAAGTGTCTTAGCTAGGGCATAAATGACCTGTGCTGGACATCACGGCAATGGCTTTATGTGATTCTATCCCTTTCTCTCCCTCTTAAAAAAATCCTGCAGGAATGCCCAGGAGTGACAGTAGTAGATAAATAGGAATATCCTTGGATCCATTTACAAACATTGACATGTTGTTACTTGCCCCAGTCTCACAACGGGTCATGCCCTTGGGGCTGAGACTATTTTGGAATATGGGGTAGATGTACGTGGTAATGCTTTAAATTGTCCAGACCATGGAAGTAAGGGTAAGATCAAGCCTTCTACCCTAAATGAAAACATCCTAATGAGAACTGATCTCTGGCACACTACCCCATGAAAGGACAATGTGGGAAAACATTGGGATTAATAGATTTTGTTTTAAAGGAAGAAAAGAGTGAAATATTCTAGGTGGCTGGGTTCCACAGAAGTACAACCTGAGGGCCGAGAAAACAGGAATGTGTGACAGTTGTGACCAGGAGGGGTAGCATAAAGTGGTTAAAGGCAGTTCCTTAAGACCAAAAGGGTCTAATCAATCATGGTTCAACCACTGAGGAAAAGACAAGGTTCAAAGAGATGAAGAAAATGAACTTCAGGATGATTTCAAAACAGCAGCTACCACAAAAAAGCCAATAGCCTCTGTTCTTCCAGTAGCTCTTGCTTATGGTCACATGGCAAGTGTTTTTTTTCTCTTGTACCTTTAAAAAACAGGTTTTGCTGACTCTGAAAGGCATCTGGCCCAGCTGTTAGGATGGGGGAAGCAGTGAGTACCAGTGGCTGAGGCCAGCTCTGCAGAGGCGTTAACCAACAGGCCCGTCTAGAAGGAAAGTTGTAAAGGGATTCATGGTTAAAATCCTCTAAGAAGACAGAAATCAGAAAAAAACTAGTCTAGCACAGTGCAAGGGTGGACCACGTGCCACACACACAGTGCATAACCAACCAGGGAATGGTTAATGAGGACACTGGAGTGAAGGAGTTAAGTGCAGTTTCTGTAGAGTCAGCAGGGCTTAAGGGCCTCTGTCATCTCTTCGCCCTCTCCCCAAAGCCATCTCAGTCAGACTGCTCCATGGAAATGGGCAGCGACAGACCCATGTTAGCAGAGGTCAGATAAAATTTTACTATTCATACTTCTAGAACATTCACAAAGTCTCAACCTACAGGGATAGTATGTACTTCTTTCATTATCCAGAGCTTAGCACATAAGTATTCAATTCACCAATAACCAGTAGATAGATGTGAGTGTTCTGTTATTGTGAGGTGAGCCTGGGTGGCTCAGTCGGTTGAGCATCCGACTCTTGGTTTTGGCTCATGGTCATGAGATCCAGCCCCGTGTCGGGCTCCAGGCTCAGCGGGGAGTCTGCTTGAGATTCTCTCTCCCTCTGCCCTTTCCCCCATGCGTGCTCTCTCTCTCTCTCTCAAATCTTGATAAAAGATCCTGTCATTGTGAAAGAGACAGATGTAGTTTAATAACTGATAGATGAATGGATAAAGAAGATGTGGTATATATGTTCTATGGAATATTATGCAGCCATAAAAAAGATTGCCATTTGTGACAACATGGATGGAACCAGAGGGCATAATGCTAAGTGAAATAGAGAAAGACAGATACCATATGATTTCACTTACAGGTGGAATATAAAAAAACAAAGCAAACAAAGTAGAAACAGACACATAAACACAGAGAACAAACTGGTGGTTGCCAGAGGGGAGAGGGGTGTGGAGAGGAAACAAGAAAACAGTGAAGGGGAGTGGGAGGGGCAGGCTTTCAGTCTGGGAATGGGTAAGTCACAGGGATGAAAGATACAGCAGAGGGAATATAGTCAATAATGTAACAGCATTTTATGGTGACAAATGGCAGCTATACTGGTGTTGAATGCGACAGTGTACAGAGTTGTCTGATTACTATGTTGTACAGCTGTAACTAATGTAACACCATGTGTTAACTGCACCTCAATAAAAAACAAGGGGTGCCCGGCTGGCTCAGTTAAGTGTTCGATTCTTGGTTTCGACTCAGGTCATGATCTCAGGGTAGTGAGATCGAGCCCTGTGTCAGTCTCCACACTCGGGGTGGAGCCTGCTTAAGATTCTCTCTCTCCCTCTGCCCCTCACCATCTCTAAGAACAACCCCAAGTTCTCTATTACTACAGTCCTCCCCTCCCCAACACCTTTCATATGACCTGTAAGAATGAGAGAGTGTCTTAAGTACTATTTTCTTTTGACATAGTCATTTTTTAGTATAAGCATGTCATAGTTTGAGTTTCCTCATTATGTGAAGCTATTTATAACTCATTCATTTATTTACACATTCATTAGTTGTAGAGTAGTCTTATAGTACCCATTATAGGCCAAGGTCTGTGGAAGGGGATGGAGATACAGAAGGTAACACAGACATGATTCTTGCTTTTGTGGAACTTAAGTGATAACTAATATTTAATTAAAAAAAAAAAAAGGTTGGGCATCACAATAGCTAATTTATTTGTACTTTTAAATATAAAATCCACTGCCATTTGTCTATGTACTGATATTAACTTATCATATCTTACATAGAAGGGACCAAAAATCATAATCACAATTTGTGAAAAAGTTGACCCGAAAGAATAAAATAACGTAACGGTTGCTTTCAGTAGGAATTACTTAGAGTTCAGTGTGTAATAAAACACTTAAAAGACTCTAAGAAAAAATTTTAAATAAAATAACAGATGGTAATCCACTTTAAGTAGAATTTAAAATCTTGCATTATGATACAA